TGGTGGGGTTTAGCCCCTCGTGTTCATTCTGTAGCGGTGGGGGATGTGCTCCCGTGGCAGTTCCCTTACCTGTTTGCAGCAGCTGTGGGTCCTGGGGAGAAGGATGCTGTTTGCTCTCCTTGGTATCCACCTCTGCTTATCCAGGGAAAGGTTTTCTGCAGTTTTCCGAGGGAGGAATGAGTAAAAGAGAAACAAAACAGGCTCATCGTTTGGTGCCAGTTGAGTTTAGTCTGTGTCTTGGCTCCGGTGCTAAATGCAGACCCCGTTGGGAAGCGTCTCTGGGAGGGAGCTCGTGTCTTAACTTTTAAACCCTTCGAATATAAATAAAAGCTGGGTGGAATTAGAGGGAGGCCGGGATTGCTGTGATCCTGGCCTGCAGCTCGGAGCTGGGGACTGTAGTGGCTTTGAACAGCGCGTCCGACGTCTGCTGCGTGTGCTCGGCCTCCTGGCATTTTTCACTTTAAATACAATTGCTCTCAGAAGACTAATCGAGCGTGGCTGCGCGGAGCAGATGGGAGAGGAAGCCAATTGAATTAAATGGGCTGCGTGGCCCTCGTCCAGCCCAAAAGGAGGGGGAGTGGTTTGGGTGTGAGCTTCCACCTTCCTTTTCCATTTTCTGGAGAGGCTGCAGGGAGGTCTGTACGTTGTTAACGCGCTAAAAAAGAAGGCTGGCTGGTGGGAAGGGAAAAAAAGATGATGCTTAGTCATTTTGGCCAAAAGGCGGTGTGTGATTGATGGTTGCCACCTTTCTGCAGGGCAGGTGGAGGAGCTGCTGGAGCAGTGGCTGCTCTGCCACCCTGTCACCTCCTGCTGCTTCTAATCCCTTCCTGCTCCTCCTCTGCAGTGGTGGGACCGGGGGTGTCCTGGCAGCGGGGCCGGGCGACAGCTTTGCCCTGGGGTTTGGTGGGGTTTAGCCCCTCGTGTTCATTCTGTAGCGGTGGGGGATGTGCTCCCGTGGCAGTTCCCTTACCTGTTTGCAGCAGCTGTGGGTCCTGGGGAGAAGGATGCTGTTTGCTCTCCTTGGTATCCACCTCTGCTTATCCAGGGAAAGGTTTTCTGCAGTTTTCCGAGGGAGGAATGAGTAAAAGAGAAACAAAACAGGCTCATCGTTTGGTGCCAGTTGAGTTTAGTCTGTGTCTTGGCTCCGGTGCTAAATGCAGACCCCGTTGGGAAGCGTCTCTGGGAGGGAGCTCGTGTCTTAACTTTTAAACCCTTCGAATATAAATAAAAGCTGGGTGGAATTAGAGGGAGGCCGGGATTGCTGTGATCCTGGCCTGCAGCTCGGAGCTGGGGACTGTAGTGGCTTTGAACAGCGCGTCCGACGTCTGCTGCGTGTGCTCGGCCTCCTGGCATTTTTCACTTTAAATACAATTGCTCTCAGAAGACTAATCGAGCGTGGCTGCGCGGAGCAGATGGGAGAGGAAGCCAATTGAATTAAATGGGCTGCGTGGCCCTCGTCCAGCCCGCCCTGGAGCTGCCCGGAGACGCCGTGGGTTCAGGAGCAGGAACAACTTAAAGCTCTTCACCTGCTTTGTGGTTTTGGTGGTGAAGGATCCTTGGGGCAGTGAGAGTGCTCCGACCCCCCTCGTCACAGGGAATAGACCCATTGCTGATGGCTGCCTCCCTTCCTGCTGCTAAAAATAGCTGATGAGCCAGTGCGGAGATGGTTGTGGCTGTCTTCGTTCCTCTAGGAGAGTGCAGGCTTGATGAGTTCCCAGGCTCTGCTTCTGCATCTTCTCCTCTGCTGAGGAACTGAGATGGATTGAAACACTTCCATTTCTGTACATCTCACAACTGGCTTTGGAGCATCCTCTGCCTCACTACTGTTGTGCTGGGCGTGCAAGGGGGCAGCTCTGCCTCGGGAAGGTGCAGGAGGATCCCGGCCCAGTCGCCAGGAGGCTTTTGTGATTTGAGCAGCCATGTTTCCCAAAGCCCTTTTGGACCTTTTTTCAGCTGAATTCTTTTTTTTTTTTTCAGCTAAAATCTCTTTCACACCCTTTCCCCAGCCAGGAATCACGGTTCCCCGGAGGGAAATGTGTTCCCCGTGAGATCCCGCTGCCGCCAGCCTGCACGGAGCCGGGCTCCCTGCTCCTCTCCTGGCAGCCTGTCCTAGAAATCAGTGACTGAGTGTGCTTCACAAATACTTCTAGTAACAGAAACGGCTCGTCCTGCCGGCTTTCTAGGTGTAAGCAAACTAAAACTGGGGCTGTTAGGGTTTTCTTGGGAAGCAGGTTGGCTGTTACGGGTAACAGCTGGATTGTCACACTGGACTGGGAATGTTTGCATCACGTTGCCATCATCGGTGCCTGGGCAGGATTATTTTAGTGCCCTGAAATGGCACAGTCACCAGTTTGGGGTAAACCCGAGCTGTAAAAGGCAGACTAACTTGTTATCTGTGCTATTGCTTCAGCTCCAATTCAGTCTTTCCCTTCCTTGCTCCTCAAGGAAAAACACAAGTCAGTTGGTGGAGTGTGATGGTATCAGGCGAGATAAGGCCCAGGCTTTTGTGCTGCTTCCGAGATAGGGATGGCTGGAACCTCCTGGTTTGTAACGTGGTTTCCCTGGAGCGGCTGGGGAGGGTTGTTCCCTTCACACAGACACTGTCCTGCGCGCTCCTTGTGAACAGAACTGTTGTATTTCCAGAGCGTGTGGATCTCTGTGACAGGGAGTTGTCTGGAGTTGGGTTTGGAGGAAGGAGATGGTGAGATGGGAGTGAAATGTTGGGTCTCAGGCCCTTTGCTTTGCACATATAAGGAATTGAACGAGAGTCTCCAGCCTCGGGACTGGGGATGCTCCTGGGCAGCATCACAGCTCTAAGAACATGCCTGAACAGGGGCACCTTTGCTTCTGGTTTTTTACTTCTGTTTTTTATCGATGAAACGTGCTGATAATTCCGAAATGCCAACTTTCCTCCAAGCTCTGAGTCTCTGTATCACTTAGGGCCTGAGTTCCGGATTTTTGCTAAGAGCCTTTAAAAACCTGTGCTTCAGGTGCAGCGTAGTTCTGAAGTGCGGTGGTGGAACGTAGCGTGGTCAAGGGAAGGTAAATACCACGGTAGTGTTGATTTTCCAGTTCCTAATCACAATAATCGCTTAAGAGGATGGAGAGAAGACCAGGCCGTGTTCTGCTTTTCCTTTCTGGCTGAGAAGAGTCTCATGAGAGAGGAATCAGACTTCTTGTGAGATAAGTTCTGCTAATCCTGCCTTGTCCAGCTCTCAGCTGACCGTGGTGACCCTCCAGCACGGTGTCACGCTGCCTCGGACACATCCTTACAGAAGGATTTGAACTGTGAGCTCTGTCAAATGGAAACGCTCCCTAAAAGGAGGAGAAATAAGTGCAGAATTACTAATTATGTCCAGTCAAAGGTGTATCGAGACCAGAGGGTGTTTTATGAATCTTCTTGGTCCCTTCTTTGCATGTAGATGCCTCTGGGTTACCCCTATTTATTGACAACTACTACTTGCCCTCTGCCTGTACGTGCTGGTCCTGTCCCCTGAGCTCGGTTTGTTCCAGCAGAGTTGGGTCCAACCCTCGTGCTGAGGGACTAGAAGGAGGGGAAATAGCTGGAAAAAACAGTTACTGGAGCATGTAATGTGCTCCAGCAGCTGGCCTACATTTTCATCTCCCGAAAGCTGCCTTTTCCCCCACGCGTGTTCTCCTGTGGCCTCAGCTGAGGTGACGCAAACGTCTTCATCCCGGGACTTGTGACCAGGAAGGTGCTGGCGTTTTTCCCCCAGATCTTGGCTTAATTCCTGAGTGCAACTGAAAAGTCATCTGGTGGTGTTGTGTTGGTAAAAAAACAGTGGTTCCTTCTGGGCATCGGGGATCTCCTTCAGAGAAGTCAAAACAATCTCAGTGGGCTGCTCGGGAAGGGGCTGTGCACAGGGGGGTGGTACCAATGGCTGGTGGGGGTCCTGGGGGTGGGGAGAAGGGGAACGGGGTAAGAAACACTCGTACCTGAGCTGAAGTGTGAGGCTAAGGAGGTGAGTATTGACTTCTGGGTGTTCCACCTGCGCTCAGAGGAGGTTTTGGGAGAGCTTGGATCTGGTAGCTGCTGTGTGGCTGTGCTGGTGTCATCGGGAAACGGCCGGGGACTTGTCCACGTGTCAGCTTTGGCTGCTGGAACCTGCGGGGTCTGAGCCAGAGGAGCTGCTGCTGGGCAGGCTGTCCCCTGGGAACCTCACAGCAGAACCTGCTCCTGCCCGGGGCCTCTAATTGGCTTTAAAAGCTTTCCCCGTAACTTAAAAAAGCACCAACTACTGTGTTACGCGCTTTAAATACACCATTTTCTGACTAAATGCCAGTTTAGCTGCAGGCTCCTGTGCCATTTGCAACCAGTTTAACTGGAGGGGAACTGGTGTGGAAAATGAGTGACCATTTCTGTTATTTCTAGTCCTGGACTCTGTGTCGGGGCTGAACTTGGTTGTTGGTGTGAGATGCTGCTGCTGCTGTAGGTGTTCGATGGGGAGATGGGAACGAAGAGCAGGAATTTCTGTCCAGGTTCCATGTGGTTGCCTCCTGCAGGAATTGCCACGGTCAAGCTTTGGCAACTGGAGTGTCTCCAACTTCATCCAGATGCACTTTTTGTCCTTGGCTTGAGGTTTTTTTTAAGTTGATCTCTCTGTTCAGGGAATTCTGATGGGAATTTTAGCTACAGAGTCACCGTGTTCAAACTGTTGGTAAATATTGCCAAGGAGAAGAGTGTCTTAACGGTGAGCTGCTTGGTTTAAAGAAAAAGATGTCCTGCCCGGGACACCCGCTGTGTTTTCCTCGTGGCTGGGAGAGCTGGAATAACGCTCACAGTCCCTGGAGGGAAGAGGTGCTTCCGTGGGCAGGTGCCTGCTCTGTGAGCTGCTGATGGGTTTGTTGGGCAAGAGAAGTGCTGTGGCAGCGAGGGGGCTTTGATGCCCAGGAAAAGGTGAGCCTCGTGTTACGGTGCGTGCTGGCATCTTCTCGGGTGAGTTGGTGTCATCTTCTCTGGGCTGAGCTGGCCCAGGAGTGAAGCTCTTTCCTCAGGGGAAAGCAACCTGAACTGGAGCTGCTGCTCTAAAAAGCAGAGATCAATGATTCAGTTCAGGAAACTCTCCATGCAGGACTGAGAAATGCTAAGAAACTGGAGGTTTTTCTTCATTACAACTTTTATTTCATATAAATAATTCCTCTACATCAGATTTTTCAACTTTTCAGTCTATCACTGTGAAGAAGAAACAGCCGCAGTTTTCTGAAAAACTGCAATCCAGCCACCATCCAAAGTGCATTCGAGCAAAGTGTTAACGAGCAGGAAAAGATGACACTTGGAAGAGGCACCATCTGCACCTCCCGTCCCTGGGGCCGGCACAGACTCATCCTTAAATGCAGAGTTACTTGGAAAAAGGAGGAAATGGGGGAAAAGTTTTCCTTTCAAAAAAAGGAAAAGATCTGCAAACAATTGGGGTTGGGATTTCTCTCTCCCCAGCTGGAGCGGGGCCGTGCAGAGGTTTGTGCCCGACGGCGCTGAGCTCCACAGCCCATGGACTCAGTCTGAGGGGACCAAGATTGAGGTCACTGACCTGATGTACAAAATAATAATAATAAAAAAATTAAACAATTGGGAGGAGGTTTTTGAGCCTGTCAGATAAGGAATGTCAGCCTGTAACAGTGATGGAGAATCTCCAGGACCCGGAGCAGTTTTACAATCTGGCTTTTATCTATCTCTTCTCTTATCCATTGGGTGAGTCCAAATAAACCCTGGGCTGTGGTGGGGTGAAGATGTTTCTACAGGTAAGACATGAAAGCTGCGTGCTCTGTTTCTTGACAATACCTCGTCTGAAGCCAGTAAACTCTCCTGAATTTGGCACGTAGAGGAAATTCTCAGGCGCGTCCTTCATGAGAGAGGTGCTGCAGACTGAAGTTACATGGAAAAACAAAATGTTTATCTGTGCAAATATTAGTTTATTAAACCAGCGTACAGTCAGTCAGTCCACACATGCCAAGCTTATCACCAAGGCAGCTGCCCTTTCGGTTAGCAAATTTATCCTGCAAGGAAATCCCAATAAATCTCCACACATCCATGTCTGCACGTACGTTTACTCCTGCGTCACCTTTTAGAGCAGCGCTTCAAAAACAAGGGTGATTCCCTTTCTGTGCTGTCACTCAGAGGTCAGGAATCAGGGGGTGTGATTCCTTGTGCCTGCTTCCTGCCTTCTCAACGGGCAGCCGTGTTCCAGCTCAGCTCAGTCCTAGTTTGCTGTGAATCTCGTAGCTGCTCGGAGACCCAAACAGCTGGGATTCCTGTGCATTGATGCTTCTAAATGCTCACCCAAATCCTCGATTTGAAAGGTGTTTTTTTAAGGCCAGAACGTCTGCAGGGCAGCCCCCCGGGGAGGTGCTGCTGCCCTCTGAGCCACGCACAAGGCTATGGAAGGCACAACCAGGGGGTGGAAGGAGTTTGATAGGAAGTTTGACCTTCACCTCCCGTTTGGCCTGGGTCCTGCTGCCAGGAGAAGGCAAATTATTGCGTTTGTGCCCCCCTCCTCCTTGCCCTGCTGGGCACAGAGAGCTGCAGGGTCTCTGTGTGGGCACAGGCAGGTTGTCCTGCGGAACTGGGCACAGACCTGCTCCACGCAGCAGCCGCCGGCCTCAGAAAAAAGCAGAGTTTCCTGATGTGCTGATTCAACCTCTGCTGCTACACAGAACAGGAGGAAAGCCAGCTTTTAAAGGATGAGATGCCGGGGTTGGTGTGTGCCTGTCAAACACCACAGTGTTACTCACTGCTCCATCCTCTTTGTGTCCCCTGCAACTACATCTGTCCCTGCCAACCCCTCTCAAGGCTGCTCTTCCATCCACCTACTGAACCACAACGTACCTCTTCTCCCTCTGTCCCCTAACGCCCTGCTCCGCCTCTGCGGAAGGAAAGAGGGGTGCCCAGAAACCCAAATCTTAACTTTAAACAGCGTTAGTTATTAAATAAAATAAAGTGCATCCAGTAGACATTCCGTTGGCTTGCCACACAGCCGCAGTAAAGGCAAAACAAATACAAAAGTAAGTGAGAGTTTTCTTGGAAGGCTGGGAGGGTGTGTAGCCTTCCCTGTCCCTTGGCGCGGGGCGAGGGGAGGGTGATGCTGAACGGGGGAGAGGGGTGGGACGGGGACCCCACGCGCCGGGGGTGGGTGCGGAAGGGTCCAGGCAGGTGCTGGAAGCTGGTTTCATCGAAGATCGAAGAGCGAGGACAAGCTTGTGCTCCTCTTCTCTTCTCATCCACCACCTCCAGCACGTTATCCTGCAAAACGAGAGCAGAGACAGCGGTGGGATCGTCTGTCTTTAGGGACCTGCTGAGCAGTAAATTAAAAATGTCTGCTGAGCTCCAACCTGTCCTTCCTGCGCGGCTGGGGCTGCCTGGGGGGTCCCACTGAAGTGTAACCCAGATACCAGCCTGCTGGGACCCACGGGGGGCTCCACAGCCCAGGGGATGAGCTGAATGTGTGGGTCTGGATGGAACATGCTCCCAGTCCTCCTCTGGAGTCGGTGAGGTTCCTCCCCTGTCTCCTTTTCTCTGAAGAACAATAAACTCTGCACGGTTTTGTGGGCAGGAGGGGCTGGCTTTGGGCAGGGCTTTGTGTCCCTCTCGTACAACCTGCCCTGGGGGTGCAGCTCTTGTGCTCCCCGAGGGCAGAATCACAGAATCACAGAATCTTAGTGGTTGGAAGGGACCTCTGAGATCATCGAGTCCAAGGGGACTCGATGTAGAAGGGTCTATCTGCTTCCCAGGAGTCAGACACTGACCCTGAGTGGAGCCTGCTGCCCTCTGCCTGCCTCCAAACCTGGATTTTAATTGAGAAAGGCAGACTCTTGGTTTTGTTTTTTTCCCCTGCAGTTGCCAGATGCCTGGATGCTGCTCAGAATTGCTGAGCTGGCGTTTTCCTGCATCCATGTTTAAATCCACAGATCCGCCTTTGGCTGATGGAATCTCAGCACCGAAAGCTCACAAGGAAGGGCAGAGGGAAAGAAAACCAGATGAAATACCACGAAGGGCAGGAGAGGCGATAACAAGCTCGGTCGCACAGAAAGGAAACCTCTGAAGGAATCACTAAAGGGCAGGAGAAGTAATAAGCTCAGTTGCACAGAAAGGAAACCTCTGAAGGAATCACTTCAGGACACGGCCACGGGCAATAATGAGGAGCTGCACTGAGATCACTCCGAGGTGCTGCAATAATCACTGCTACGTGCAGCTGAGGAGACCCGAGAGTCGCAGGAGCCGTTTCTCCTTGTGCTGTAGGTGTGCAGCTGGGGGGTGGTCCTGTCCCGCTGTCCCCCGGGGGTGCTTGGTGCTGAGCAGCACGACTCGGGGGGTCAGTGCCCTCAGGAAGGGCTGGGAAGCAGGTTTCCAGTCCTGCTCGGTGCTCCAAATACTGTAAAATCTGTGGTGCAGTCTGAGGTGACTCCCGAGCTAGCTCTGCTTATTGTTCCTCTGTTTTATTATTACAGAATCACAGAATCTTCTAGGTTGGAAGGGACCTTAAAGATCATCTTGTCCAACCGTCAACCTGACTGACAAAAATAGACACCCACACAACAAACAAGGAGCATCACCATCACTAAACCAGACCTCCCAGCACTACATCAACCCGGCTTTTGAACACCTCCAGGGATGGGGCCTCAACCCCCTCCCTGGGCAGCCCATTCCAAGGGCTGAGAACCCTTTCAGTGAAAAAATTTTTCCTAATATTAATGGTTTCCAAAGTCTCTTGGACAGCGCTGTGCCGTTAGTGCTGCTGGACGATTCTCTGTCTTATTTGCAGTTTATCCTTTCAATACAGACACCGTTCTGTCCTTAATGGTTTCCTAATTTTTCCTAATATTAATGGTTTCCAAAGTCTCTTGGACAGCGCTGTGCCGTTAGTGCTGCTGGACGATTCTCTGTCTTATTTGCAGTTTATCCTTTCAATACAGACACCGTTCTGTCCTTACAGCCAGGCCGCTGGTGGGCTTGAGAGTCATTACTTCTCTCAGTAATTAGACACAGTGATTAGCCCTTCTCTCCTTTCCCACGTGTCACTGGCGGGGCGCTGGGAGATGCATGAGCGCTGGGACGGCTGTTGGGAGCGATGGGGCTGGTGCTGCCTGTGCCATCCCCAGCCCTCCTCGTGTCACTGTCACACCAGGGGATCAACTGGTGGACCCGATGAAACCTGGCAACGTGGCCCTTCCTCCCCCAGCCAAGATGAGCGTTATCCACCTCTGCTTGGGCTGGAAAATGTAATTTTGTTGGGTCTCCTGAGGCAGGTTGGGAGTTCCCAGAGGCAGTTTTGTTCGTAGTGGAACCACCCAGAGCCTCACGAAACACCACAAGGCAAACTGGGACGTGAGGTGTGAGGACCATTAGACATCATTACACCAGATTCTCTCAGCTTTTTAAAAATGGATATAGATCTACTGCTCCAACATACACTGTAAGGCCAGAAAAATGACTGGCAAGATCATGAGACATCTACCCAGCACAGGCCATTGGACATCCCTGAATTAATTCCTGTTTGAACTAGAACTGATTGATTTTGGGGAATGGGGTGGAAAATCCTAATCCTGTCTGTATTTGCCACTGCTAGCAAAATTAACACTGCGACCCTTGATGAGCTTAAATACATAAAGATGGTCTTTGATGGAGATTCCTGTTGGAGTGGTTTAAGATCTTGTTCTGTGCAGCCTCTCCATTCCCCGGGCAGGGCAGACACAACGTGGTGTGTTCATCTCAAACTGCTTTTCACCTGGGGGTTACACTAAAGGGTTAACACGGGGAGCTGAGCTCTGGGCACACACAGCTTGTCATCAGGCTCCGAGGTGACAAGTGTCCCTGCTTCAACCACCACACGCTTCCAAGTCATCTCTCCTCTGACAGGCAGTCACCTTTCCCCAATTTTGCCGTATTTATTCAGGGGCTTCTTCAATACATTGATTCTTGCACCAGCCTTGTCTCCTGGCTTGATGGGTCTTCTCCTTCCCTGTGTTTACTCCTCCACTGTATGAGATCACAACCCCATCACCTTCCATCTTCAGTTTGCCCAACTGAACAGCCATTCCCTGCACATCCCTGGAGTCTGCCCTGTGCTTCTTCAGTCCGAGTATGTTTCTCTTGAACCACTCTCCTAGAATCCCCGTGTTTTCCCCTGTTAATAGTATTTTCCCACATCGTGCCACAGGAAAGGCCTTCCGTAACTACAGGGGTAGGAAGGTAACTGTCTCAAGGCCTCTGTTAAGCCCTATCACTCCCTAATTCTGCGTGAGGACTAACCTCTCCGCTGTGGTGGCACCTGCTGCTGAGATGTGCTCTGGGAATGTGAAGTGCCCGTGGCACGATGGTGGGCTCCAGAAGGTGCTGTGGGCTGTGGGAAGGCCCAGGGAGGCCAACGCTATCAAACTCAACTCCTTGAGACCCCAATCCCAGGCCACGTCCAAGACATCACAGAGGCATCTTCGTGACTCCTGAACCTTGGGGAAACGGGTATGTACCTTCAGTAGCTCCGTAACTGCCTTGAGAAGTGTTGGTTTCTGCTCGTGCTGGTTCCTGCCCCAACCTTTAGCACTGGTTCGCATCAGAAAGCCAACCTCTCCTGACCTCCCGGGCCCTGCCGCACACAGGCCCTGCCGGCCCCGCTCCTGCTGACGTCAGCCAGAGCTGCAAGGTCAGATCCCTGGAGCTGCTCTGGAAATCCACCCCCAGCTGCATTTGCTCTAAAGATGTTAAGATTAATTTTCTCAGGAGAATTCAGGGAAAAGCTTCTGTGGTTTTTGTGTATCGCTTACTTCTCTGGGACTCGTTGGACGCTCTCCAGGGATTCCAGTCCCGCACTTTGGGTAAATATTTATTCCTTGTTATTTGAAGCAAAGGATGAAAGCCCCCCCAGACTCTCTGTGCAGCATCCCCAACTAGTTTGAAGGTGCTGGAGATGTTTAGAGCCATAAATAGACATCAGCAGTGGAAGCTGTGAAACCTACCCGGGGGCCGCTTGCTGCGAGGAGCTGGAAGAAATGCCTCTGCAGAAATGGGTGGGCAGCACCTGCCGTGGGGAGAGGAATCTGCACGTCCCTGTGTGTGGGACACGGCCCCCCCAGAGCCCAGGAGCAGGGCAGGTGGAGAGGATATTGTCCTCTCTCATTACTGATGTTTGCTGCCACTGCAGGTATCTGCCGTGCTTTGGGACCTGTCACATCCCCGACCAGAGGGCAGGGCCCTGCCAGCAGCTGAACCTGGTACAGGATTTTCTACTCGATGGAATCAGAGGGCAGGGCCCTGGCAGCAGCTGAACCTGGTACAGGATTTTCTACTCGATGGAAATTCCACGATATAAACTTTTAAATGGAATGATATTTTTCCATTCCTTTTGGGGTTGATATAGGTTGTATTTTGCAAAATCATACCATCTGTTTCAACGCTGATTTTCCCAAAATTGCACCGTATCAAAACTGAATCACCAGTATTTAAAAACATAACATTAAAATTTCCTGTTTTGAAAAGGTTTAACGAGGGCTCCAGTTTGGGTTTTATGAAATACAAAATGTTGAAGCCAACACATTTCTGGTACATGCATAGCATTTGTCAAATCCGTATTTTCACAGAAACACCCCACCATCTCACTAGGAAGTGACCTGCTACCTCCTGGCAGGAAATCATTAACCAGTCTTGATAGCCCACGACAGTGCATCCCTCCAGGTGCTTCTCCTTAAGGATGGTCACATCTCTCATGGGTCCCAGAAACAATAATCATTTCCCTTTTTTTGTTACACACTCTCTGTCCCCTGAGACTGTGGTCACTCAGACTCCGTATGAGTTGGATTCGTGGCACGGACTTGGCTCGTGTTTTCTACCAGGCTCTTCAGGGCATTCCCCAGTATCATGTCCCCTGGTTACACAGACACAGGACACGATGCAGATTTCCAGCTGGCCTGGGTTTACCGGGACAGAGCTGCTCAGTGCCTCCTGGAGGCTTCCCTAACAACCCAGTTACCACATAAGGTCCTTCTGCAGAGAACCTGAGTTACCGTTGCTCACACACCACAGGGGGAGAAACCTCCTCCCTCCCCTGCTGCAATAGGATAATCTTGCACTTGTGCTGGCCTGACCTCAGTCTCCCAGCCTGGGTTATGGTCCCTTCGCTCGGAATTACCTCTGCCTTTACGATTATACTCAAGCCATGAGGGGAAGCAAATAATTAAAGCGGTTTGTTCATCTGAATTCATGGTTCTAACACAAAAGGAATGAACAAACTTTTCATTTTGCGTTCTAACAAGAAAGTGCAGCTCATTGTTTAAGGCTTGATCTTACTTCTCTTCCAGCTTCCTGAATGATGCTCTTTTCCTGCCAAGCCCAGCTCTGCCCGGCGATGCCGCACTTCGTCTGAGAGAGGCTGAAAAAGGCAGGATCGTTTGCCTGCCACACATTCCCTCCAGGATGGACACATCTCTGAAGTCCCTTTGTGGGCCATATGCCACGGCTCTGCTGACTGCAGGTTTCCTATGGGTTGCATTTTGGGCAATCCTTGCCCTAAAACATCATGCGGTAGCAGCCGCAGGCAGCAGGCTTGAAAAGCTAAAAGACCAAAGAGAAAGCCCCACTAAGGGTTCAAAGACACCCCAAATGGGGGCAGTCCTGAGGAGCCTGGTTCCAAAGAACTGCTGTGAAAGAACACTTCAGGGAGAATTACATGAAAATAGAGCAGAGCTAAAACTAACGTGTCTGTAGAGCAGTAGGAGACAGGAGCCAAGGGAGAAGGGAAGGGAGTGCTGGCAGCTGGCGGCTGTGTGTGCCTGCCATCTGTGTCATTGTGCAGCCTGTCATGTCCATTTGGGAACTTCAAAGTAACAGCAGGAACAGACACGAGACCTTTTTGCTCCAAACACACTGACAACTTAACCGACCGGAGCCAAACGAGCTTTTGCTTTTTTGGTGGTTGTTGTTGTTGTTGTCACTGTGGCTGTTCTGTCGCCCCGCGGAGCCCCGCTGTCAGGCCCCGCACACGGACCGCTCCGGGTCTGCTCAGTTAGTGCCAGAGAAATCCAGGGCTTGTGGGTTTTTGTCTGCCAGGGGATGCTCCTGACAAGCCGGACCCAGGGAGCAGACAGTTAAAGACAGGCCCCTCTGTCTTCCTCTCAGCCCTTCCCCCACTACAAATAAATCATGGCAGGACTCACTCTGGTTTGGGAACACCAGCCCTGACCGTGGCCTGTCACTGGTGCAAAGGGAGAGGTCACGTTGCTCAGTGGTGACTTCAGCAGAGAGGAGGTGACAATGATGCCCCAGAACATCATTAAAGACCGACAGCCCAGCAGCACTCGTGTGCTCATTCCCTAAATGCTCCTGCAGGCAACAGAATGAAAAAAGCCCGGAGAGCCCCACTGCTGAGATGGGGACACACACAGCTGCTCTGGCCCACCTGGTGTCTCCCAAACAGTCAATATCAATACTTTCAAGACCAATAGTGTCTCTCTTGCCACGCAGATACAGAACCATGGAATGTGTGAGTGCTCAAGTGCAAACACCAAGTTAATCACCAAGTTAATCACCTTCTCTTCCCCAAGGCACAAGGCTGTGGTTGTAATTACACCTGCCTTAATGAGTTCAGTGAGGAGTACAGAGCCAGGCTGAAGTGGACTCAGCAAAAAACCATAGGAATCTTCATTGCTGAGATAAAAATGGATGACTGAAATTTATTGCTTCCTCTTAGCAGGTGTCTAATTAATTACTACTTTTCTCACTCGGGATAACTTTAATTCCTTCATCCTCTACTTTGGAGGGGATTTCTGGTAGATTGGAGAGGCACAGCCTGGACAGTAAACTCCCGCTATGTGCATCCAGGTGTCTCTTAATATTTTCCTAAATGCTGTTGGAATTAATTTCCCTCACTTGAAGGACTTTTAGTTCAAACACAGAACCAGCTCCTGCTGGTTCCTGGTGTTTTGTCTTTTTTCAATAGCTGTAACGCTTGCACTTCTCCATGCCTTTTGTACAGTATTGGATTATAGTGAAAGTCTCTTTGTTAGCAGCTTAACCACTCCATCCCTAAGCTCCTGGGAGCCCCGGGATGAATGCTGAGCAGCTCTGCTGGGCTGGGGTCTGCAGAAACCCTGCTGGAACTGGGGAAAGGCACTTAGGGGGGTGCTCCCCCTGCCCTGCTCCGAGCAGCTCATTGCCCAAAGTGCCCACTCACAGAACACAGCTGCTGCCTCCCTGCTTAAACGACCGAGCCAGGAGTATCCCGAGAGCAATTCTCAGAATCTTCACAGAATCACAGAATCTTAGTGGTTGGAAGGGACCTCTGAGATCATCGAGTCCAACCACAAAAAAAAAAACAAAAAAACAAACAAAACAAAACAAAAAACCAACCAAACAAATACAAAACACACCACACCAAACGCCCACCAAAAACACCGCACCCACCAACTAAACCCCACACTCAACACCTCGCCATAAACCAATAACCTTGGGCACTAGAGCAGGCCCTGAAGAGCCATGTCTATACGTTTCTTAAATCCCTCCAGGGATGGTGACTCCACTACCTCCCTGGGCAGGCTGTTCCAGTACCTGACCACTCTCTCAGTAAAGTAATTCTTTCTAATATCTAATCTAAATCTCCCCTGCCCCAACTTCAGACCATTTCCTCTGGTCTTGTCGTTCGTCCTTTGGGAGAAGAGGCCAACACCTGCCTCTCTACAACCTCCTTTCAGGTAGTTGTAGAGGGCAATGAGGTCTCCCCTCAGCCTCCTCTTCTCCAAACTAAACATGCCCAGTTCCCTCAGCCTCTCCTCATAGGACTTGTATTCCAGTGTTGGGCAGGCAGGGTTGTGTTCTGGAAGAGCTCATCTCTCTCCTTTGAAGAGAGATGAAGCCCAGATCTTAGGTTGGGCGCTGCTGTGCTCGGCCTGAGTTAGGAGGAGCGAACTGCAACCTTCTACCTAACCTGGTGGTAGGATCCCATCCTGCCTTACTGGTCTGCTCTAGCACCTGTGGGTGTGACATCTTGATCTGGGTGTGACATCGCCTGGAAAAAAAAGTCTTGCAAAGGAAACTGCCAAAAAGCCCCTACAGTCTCTCTTTACCCCTTCCTTCTAATTTCTACCTTATTTTTCTGCCTGTCATACTTTGTTCTTGTTCTAAATTTGCCTTTCTGGAAGAAACTTCTTTGCTTGAGCAAAGCCTGGAGCACTGCTGCATACCCAGCCCTGTTCCTCCTCCTGTCTCTTTGGTTCACAGGCCTTTCCAACGGGAGCCACCTCACCCGCTGTATTTACACACTGCCTTGCACAGCAGTGTTACCACGTGTCACATTCAAAGTGTAGCATTCACAGACCTTCTACTGGGAAAAGAATCTGTCTTCAAACTGTTGTCCACAAGGTGGGCCTCTACAGCTCTGCAAGTGTTTTGGGAAAGGGACTACGGTGACCTCAACTTATTCTAGTTGTGGTCATTCCAGAGACAGAATTAAACTCATCCCACTGTTGTCGCTGAGATTAGCCCTTCCCAGCAATAGATTCAGTTTGTGCCCTAATTAATGCACGTGACCAACCAGACTCAGCAGTTTTCTGTCCAAATTTTCCTGTCTGACTTCCCATTGTTCCCCCGTCCACTCCTGGGCAGCTCTGTGTGATGCAGCAACTACCTGAGGGATCCATGTCACTGTCAGCGAACCCCTCCAGGCAGTTATCTGTGATGCTGTTATGGACCATGGCTGAGAGCATAATGGGGTGACAAACACCCCCTGGGGAGTTGGGGCAGGAACTCACCTTCTGTCTCAGGCAAGCCGGTGGAATCACTGCTAGTTGAGAGTGTCCCCACTGTCCTTGTCCTTGCAATCCTCAGGCTGGTCCCCTTCCCTGGACTGTGATTTTGCTGCGTCCTGCTCAGACACAACAGTCACGTCAGAGCTGGCTTTTCCTGGGGGCAAAGGTTCTTCTCTGTGTTCAGCGCCTCCAGCATCTTCACCTCCTTTCAGTGCAAGTATTTGTCCCTGCAGGGCAGTGTCTTGAGTCACTTCTTCCCCTCCTTTCCTCACCAGCTCTCCTTGACCTGCATCCAGTCTGTCTCCCGTTGCTGCATCAAGCTTTCCTCCATGGCCGTTTGGAGGCTCCTCAGTGGGTTCCTGTCCTGAAGCTGTGTTTTTCTCCATGCCAGCTCCATCTACATTCACTCCCACGGGCAATGACAAGGTCTCCTCACTGCCATGGCTGGTGGCTTGCACGGTGCTTGGAAGGCTGCTCTGTGAAGCACTGCTGTTAGTGCTCTCCTCCTGGGAGATGTCAGCAGAGCCAGGCTTCCCACTGGCATCTTCCCCAACACCTTCCTTCCGTGGTTCAGGCCCTGGCTCTGAGTCACCTGTGCTGGCCACAGACACCTCCTTCACTCCTCTCTGCTCCTCTTTCTGGCCATTGTGGGCAGACTGGACCTTTCCACTTTGTGGCCTTTGTGATGAGGAGGCCCCATGATCTTGGAGGTTTGGCTGCTTCACCTTCTCCTCCAGCTCATCTGTGCAGTTCTCTTCCACCCCCTCCTCACCTCTGCTCTTCCGCTTCTCCTTACCAAGGCTCCTCTGAGAACAGAAGGAAATATTTAGTTCATCTTATTAAAATATTAATATATGATATTCCCTGTCTATGATGGTTCCCAAAACTTGGGGAAAAAATTGCGGAGGTCCTTAAAGGAAGTAGAAGGATGTAGGTAGAGAAGTGTTTGGGGACCAGAATAAGTAGGGCTGTACTGACAGAGGGTCGGTCAATGCAAGAAGAGAAGTTGCTCTCACATCATACCACCCAGAGAATGCCAACGAGGGGGACATTTACCCCAACATGGAGGGCTCCCTGCTCTGCACTGGCTGAGAGTCTCCAAATTTCCTGACAGTGCACGTGTAAGAAAACTCAGCAGCCAGCCCTGAGCTCATGAACTCACCTGCCCATCAACGTCATCCTTCAGAAAAGACATATCCTCGCCTTCTTTTGCATCCCATCTGTCAAGAAAAAAATATATCACAATTTAGGTCTTCAAATTCTCATACAGCAAAGCGACCCTCCCTGGAATTTCTACTATGGCCACACATTCCTTGTCTGAGCCCCTGGACCAGGCAACGAGAGCCAAAGGCGACAGACGTAACTGGTCCAGTCACTTTTGGCACCTGCAACGCACTCAGCCCATCCAGAGACACTCATCTGAGACACTAAATCTTAATGAGCTGGTTGTTACAACTCTAAATGCAATGAAAACATAAAATCCAATTGCCAGAACAGACATTTGTCATTAGACTGATAAGATACAGGGTTTGCTTACGCCGGTGTCTGCCCCGGTCTTGTCCTGTTTGCCCAAGTGTCCCAGATCTCCACAAGGGCAGACACAGACAGCGAAGGATAAAATGGAAGTATTTTGGGAGAGGGAGACATTGCCATGTGCAAGCAGACAGGGAGAACAGCTATAAGGATTTGACTGAAGGCTCTCCTCCCAGGCTCTCCTCCCCTCCCAGCATCACCAGCAGAGGCTTAGAGCAGAGTTTGAAAAGAGGACAAATATGTTGAACACCTCCCCAGCTTCCAGAAACTTGCAGCTCTGGGATTTCCTGAGCTGGAGATGGTATCTCTGCGTTGAGTCATGCTTAGCTGACAGTCTCTTCCAAGGATTTGAGTAAGTGCATTTTGACCCCATAATAAATTTGCAGCAGCTACAACATCCTGTGCCAAAGAGGGCCACAGCTCAATTAGAGCCTGCCTGACGAACCGCTTCCGTTCGCTGGTTTGAATTTGCTTGGGTGAATATAAATCTGAGTTTGCCCGTGCAGTGCTACTGGGCTGGAGGGGGCTCAGTAACCTCACCTTCTCATATGTGAGTCACATCACACACACACACCCCTCAAATGTTTTTATATAGATATATATATACACACACACACCTATTTCTCCCTGCCCCATGCTCTTAAAACACAACATGTGCGAAGCTGTGTGACATTTAATTCTCTTGAGAGTATCCCCCTTCTCTCGGGGCTTAATGGTCTCTTCATTTGGCAAATTTGTGCCAAGATACAAAAAATGAAAAGGCGCCTTGAGGTGACTGCAGAGTCAGGCATTTCCAGAGGGAAATGTGTTACAGTGATCCCACGTGCCCTGGTGAAAATTGTGAGGGAATTGCTCTCCCAGGCTGCACCAGGCAATCACACCGAGCTGCCTTTATCCAGCCAAGTCCTTAGGGTGGACATGAACTGCATCTCAGAGCGTAGAGATGGATGTGGTGTCCTCCACAAGCCCTGGGTGAAGCAGCTTGGAGCAGTCCTGCAGGGCTCAGCGACAGACCCAGCACCCAAACCATGGCCAGTGGGGGCTTCTCCTGAACCCAAGGCAGGTCGCCTTCCACCAGCTGTGCTCAAACCACACAAGGACCTCATTTCTTGGGAGCAGCCCCACCGCTGTGGTTGTATTTTCAGAGGTGCCCTCCAAGAGCTCTGGAAGTCCAGCTGTGTGGGTAGAGCTCATCATACATCATCAACTGTGTTAAATTACAGTTTGGGCTGCCCTCGGGATCAAGTCCCCTCAGCATTGATGCTGGTGGGACCAATGGCTGCTTTTCCCTGACAGATACCCCGAGGGTATCTATATACTGGGGACAGATTCCCCTAAACAGAGAACGGCTCATGGGCTGCAGGTTTCTGCCTCTCCCTGCTCGGTCTACACTCCCACTGCACAGCTTCTGAAGAGCTAGCCCAGAACAGACCACCCTCCCAGTCTAAAGACACCCAAAAATAGCTAGACAGCAATTCCGAAATATTCAGTGTCTCCATCTGACATGTTCCTCCTCCCCTTCATTACCCTTAACACCCCAGAGTGTGTTATTAATCACTCAGATGCAACAAAAATGCTCATGGCTAGTGCTATCCACGATAGATGTTCTTCTGGGAACTTGGCTCCAAAGTCTTTCTTGGGTAAGGTGCTACTGGTGATGCCTTCTAGATCAACAGAGGACACAGAAGATGCAATGAAGAGGAGATAAGAAAAACAGAAGTCCATGAAGTGAGACGGATGGGCAGAAGGAGAGCTACTCTATAGTGATTCTGGCAGGACAGAGCAATCAGGTGGTGCTGAGGGGGGTGTCCACACTGCAGCAGACAAGTGTTTGGCTTCCTCATTTCCCCCGAGATGCCCAGGTCCACAGGTTAAGAGGAGGACTTCAGGGCACAACTCCATATTCCAGCTACTCACATCAGCAGTGTTTAAGATACTTCTTTGTAGTTTTAAATGACCCACAACTTTCCATTCTAGAAGCTGATAAAGAGGAAGTACTGAAGCAAAGCAAACAAGAATGAAAAAAAAAATAATCAAGACACTTTCTAGCCCCATTTCTAATGAAGGATGTATGATGTATTGTTTCACTGCGAGATGAAATGAGAAAAAAAGAAAAACAACAATAATAAAGAATGCCTCTGTGGAGACAATAGTATATAAAACTTTATAATTTCATCACTAAGAGAATTTAGGCATCTAAACAGGATTCTAGGACCAGCCATTTTGGAGCCTGAAAGCCTTTAACTGGATATGAATAATACCCTGATTGAACCCAGCAGCCCTGGAGGAGTCAGATGCACTGAAAAGCCTCTGAGCCTCCGCACTGGAGACACAAACACCTACTGGAAAACACACCTCCTCGGCTCGTTGTCAGGAAAGGAAGAGGCTGTGGAAGCCTACGACAAACCGGGCATCCTCTCTCCCTGCAACACCTCCTCTGGGCCTCCCCGCAGAAGGTGCCAGACCTCGCTGGGCAATCTGGCTGGCTGACCTTCCCCTCTCCCAGATAAAGAATGGATCCAGAAACCCCCATCACTTTGAACTGGTTGACATTACTGGTGAGCTTTGACTCAAGCAGGAATGTCCGAGCCGTGAGAGATCTCAAGTCTGCTGGACCCACTGCCCAAATCTCCTGCTCCCGGGGGGAGGTGAGACGAGCAAGGGAGCAATGCTGTGTTATCACAGCAGATGAAAGTGCTGACACCCAGGTATAACCCGTCTCAGTTTGAAATGGTGCTCACTGTCCCAGCCACTGGCAGAGAGGAGACTGCTGCCTTCTGTGGCCTCTCCAAGCTCTGAAGCAGAAGAGGCAGAGAGCACTGCAGGAACAGACTCCGGGGCTGCTAATGAGGCACAGCAAAATGAGCTGTCGTCAAACTGAGCTCTGAGCTGGCCAGTCAGAGGCTCTGAGACAGCTTGTACAAAACATTAAGTCCCAGCCCAACATTATTTCTTTGAATTTCTGCCATAAGACAGCTGGCCAAGGCATTCCTTCTGGCCATGGCTCTGAGAGCTCAGCAGAGAAGAAGAAAGAAATGGCTCAAGATCTTGTTATGATTTCTGGAAACCAGTCAGCATCTGCCTGTCACAGACCCGCTTTGGAGCATCAGTCAACCTTTGCCAAGGATGAGAGGAGACAGGTCCAGGGGAGTGGGAAGGCTCTCACCCCTTCCCCCTGGGTCCCACCGGGGCAGGGATGGAGCCCGAGGCAGGACCTGAGGGCTGGGGATTGACCTGTGGGCCGTGGTGAGGAGGGAGCAGGTCATAGCACGATCCATCCGTCCCCACTGCCTATAAAAGGGAAGCAACGAACGCTTTGTCCATTCCAAGAAGCTGCTCAAAAATCAACCGCTCTTCCATTTACAGTCTGTTCCCAGCACACACGTCACCAGCCACATGCAGCTAAATTGTCTGGCTAGAACATCCATGGAGCAGAAAGAATGACTCCATTAGGATTAAACTTTAAGATTAAATTCTGGAAGCATGAGGTTTACCACGTCAGCGGGTCCTTCTAACATCACCATTATTTTCTGATGTCTTTCCTTATATTTTGCTGCTTGGGAGGAAGGACAGGACTGGGCCACCTCTGCATGAAGAACTCACTGATCCCACGCCATATACACCTGATCCCCCCCAAAGGGTGCTGAGACACATCCCAGACCTCATGGGGGGACAAGGTGGCCATGGCCAACCGCTCAACACGTGACCAAGACGTGACAAACCAGACACACCACCACAGGAAGCTCCCAGGGAAACCTCCTCTGTGCCTTCCCACCTACCCAGGCCCTGAAATGCAGGGAAACAAAAGACTCCAGTAGGCAGGAGAGAGAAAGGAAGAAAACAATCTCTGCAGTGGGTATAATCATGGTCCTGGCAAACACTGACAGAAACCACGAGCTGCTGGTTCTGTACAATTTCTTCCAGCCCTCGGGAGCACTGAGCATCTCCTCTGCAACGAGACACAAACTGCTCTGCAGCAGTAAGGGGTCCCGTGACCCCTTCTCAGAGCAGAGGAGATGGCACTAGATGTGCATTTTAAAGGAAGAGATGGATCAAAGTCCAAAGGAAAGGTGTTTCAGGAGGCAGCGTTCTCTGATTCGCTTGGAGGAGACGGAGACAGCTAATAATGACTGATCCAGTTCCCTTCAGAGGGAAGTGAAGACTTCAGTAGTCAGAAGGTCATCAGAAGCCTTCCCCTTGAATCCAGTTTAGCCCAAAACTGATGTGTGATTTTAGGAAAGCTGTACTCCATAAGAAGTACTGCCTTTTAGAAGGGATGATGACCTAAAGTCAGGTCATTTGTGGCTGTTAAAAACCCTACCACCAGTGTGGGGGGAGCAGTGTCTGCCCAACAGCTGCCTGTGCTTTCACTTCTTAGATATAGTATCAGGTGGATATATTTTTTCCTTCTGTTTCTCTTCCCCAGTGCAGCTGCTGAAGTCATTCCTGTGCATACGTTTTCCTTCTATGTCTCTCTCCTCCACCTCTCTGTCCCCTATTTATCAGTTCTTCCCTCACTGCCTTGTAGCCTGTCACTTTTTAAATTTCATTCTTGTCTCCCTCTGTCCAGCTCCTTGTCCCCGGTTTTTAATTCTTCCCTCTCTGCTCTGTAGCCTGTCAATTTTAAATTTTATTTCTGCATCTCTCTCTGGCCAGCTGCCTGCCCCTCTTTTTACTAAACAAATAACCAGATCTCAGGGGCAAACCTCAGAAGCAGAACCACGCTTGCTCCCGAGGGTGGTTGTTGGGGTCTGAGAGTTTGGTTTGGCATCTTCAGTCAGTGCAGAACAGTGTAACCACTGCACCTTTAATCACTGCATCTTTCACAGTTCTCAACAGCAGCGTTGGTCTGAACCCTGCTAAGGTATTCACAGAAAGCAACAACATGAAGCAAATCTTGGCATTCCCATCCTGCTCATCCTCCAGGAGCTGCTGTCATTCCCGGGTGCCGCAGCTGGCGGCTGGGGAGCGCGAGCAGGAGCAAAGCTCATCTGCTGCTCTGTCCCCAGGACACCTTACTGGGATGGAGCTGAAGAACGGGAAGGGGTGGACTGTAACTTACAAACAAAGCTGACTTCATTATTCGCACACTGTCGAACCCATTCTTCATCAATTTATCAGATTTAAATTTCATTTTAGAAGTGTGATTAACTAAGAGGGCTTAGGAAGACAGAAGATAACCCATCTTTAGGCTGTAAGTAGATTCCCAGGCCACAGTTTAACTGGCTGAGAGTTATGGCTGCCCAGGCATTAACTAAGAGGGCTTAGGAAGACAGAAGATAACCCATCTTTAGGCTGTAAGTAGATTCCCAGGCCACAGTTTAACTGGCTGAGAGTTATGGCTGCCCAGGTGCATTTCCTCAAAGCACAGCCACTGGAAACAAAAGCAACATTAAAAAAATCTCCAGGCAGTGCCAGGCTCTGCATCTCAGAGCTGCTACTGTCCTGACAGCAGAACCCTGCACACACAGCCTCTGCCCAAGGCTCTTCATTTCAGCCAAGGAAGAGGGAGCAGCAGCTCACACCTCCATCGAACTCACTTCTGGGGAATGCTGGGAGTACCCCACGAAGCGTGGGGGTGTTTATGCATCTCTTTAACTCTGTGGTCATCACAGACCTGGATGGTTGGAGAACGCTGACGTTAAAAGCTACCGGAATGGTTTTGTGTTCTGGATGAATGAAGAGGCTCGGGGTATGCAATCAGCTCTGCCTCCTTCTGTTGCCCGCTGAAGGGCACGGCCGTGCTGTGAAGACGATGAGTGTTATTAACCCGTCAGCGTGGCTCCAGGAAACTGGAGACTGCACTGAAATTTAATTACGGAGAGCAGCAGGAGAGCGGGGCCCCTGGGAGGATGTGGGCGAACCTGTAAAATGCACTTAGTTTTGCTGATATTCTGCAACGCCTCCTGTGCCAATCACTACATTGCTGTGTGCTGCCCACAGCTGGCAGGAGCCGGCCTCTTCCCTCCACACATCTTTAAGAACAGTCGTTTAAGAAGAAAAGACACCTGTTCCACAGTATCCATCCTCACTGCCACTTGGTCAGCTGGGAATTGTCTCTGGAGCCTGCTCCTCTCTATCAGCAGTGTCTGGAAGTCAGGTAAGAGGTGTTCAAAAGCTTGTGGGGGCACGTCCCATTGGTACCTAACGCTGGTCACAGAGAAACCCTGACCCCTGGGCTGTTCTGCAGAGACCTCAGCAGTGGGTCAGCACCCCCATGATGCACCCCACAAGTACCACAAACCCCACTAAGAGAAATCCTGCCAGATGTGGCCCCAGCCAACATGAATCCCTCTGAAAAGATGCTGTTGTTGAACAAAATCTCTTTTCGTGTGTCCCTCTTCACAATCAGGCAAGGAATGAGACTGGACACATATATCACAACCACTGGTTTGCTGCTGCCTCCTCACCTCCTGGCTCTGCCCGTCAGCCTGTCCTTCCCTTTGGCCCGGCTGCTCACAGCAGGTACCGCTTTCGCTCCCGGATCGCTCACGTTCACTCCATGCTGTCCCCCACCTAGAAGAGAGGATGGAAAAGCCATGCAAGAGCTGGCAGAACCACTGGACCACTGGACCACTGAAGGGGCCAACATCCCTCCATCACTGGTGAGCACCTCTGGAGGGGAAGCCTCTGAAGCTGTGTGTACACTGTGTGTGCATTTTCTAAAGTAATAAATGCAAACTGAGAATTTAGGGGTGTTTCTTCTGCGTTTTTTCACTCCAAATTCCAATTGTAACTTTAAAACTTATTCCTTGGATACAGCCTCCCTTGTGCTGTTCTTGGAAGCCTTGTTCTTATTCTGCCTGGCCACGCAGCACAGACTGTACCGTACAGCTATGAGCAGCCACATGGCGTGTCCCCAGAAGGCCCCTCCAGCTCTGCCAGAGCTCCCTCCGTGAGGAGACATCAGAGGTGCTGACGTTCAGTGGGGGGACACAACCCAGCCCTGTGGTTTACTCACCTCTCCCGTTGGGAGGAAAGGACCTGTGCTGGAATTTCCTTGCGTTTCTTCCCCCTGAAAGGACAGAGCAAAGCATGCACAGAAGTGAGCGAGGTTCTGTCACGGACGGGCAGCAGAAAGCCTGATGTTCAGATAGGGTGTCACAAGGGAAAGCTTTGTTCTGCCAGTCCATCTCCTGAGAAACAGGAGTCATGATGGACTTATGCTAGTAAAGAAGCCAGCATGTGCCACAGGGATCAGAGATGATGTGCTCTGGAATAGGATTGCCTCTCAAACCAGTGTTTGGGAAAGGAGGCAGCGCCGAGCCTCCGCGTTGTGTCGTACAAGGTTACAGAAGCCACTGCTCTCCCTGGGAGGATAAAAAGCACTAGCACCCAGACGCTGAAATCCCATCCCCTGAGCACTCTGCAAGGCAGAGAGGGCTGAGACCCCAGCACTGCGCTCAGAGGCGTTTGCCCAGGAAAGCACAGCTTCACAACTGACAGCCAGGACAGCTGCTGCAGCACTGGGAGTCGCACGATCAGCATTCGCTAGCGTCAGGACAGAGTCTAGGTGTCCCTTGCCAACCTTTCTTATTGCTGGGATTATCCAAGGCTGGCTCCCCATCCTTAACAAAGTCCTCTTCAAACCTGCAGGTTAAAAACAGGCATTGTCAGACCGGATGGTTCTCTCCAGTGTGCAAAAGCGTGGACAGGAGACCTCGAGACGATGCAGGCTCCAGCCTTCGGCCCTTCTGCACCTGCCCACTGGCAAATATGCACAGGTTTATCAGCAGGAGCTGAAGCTGCATGCACTAACCAGGAGAAATGAGGCTGTGAGGCAATTCTACCCCAAAGGAGAACCTCCAAAACCTTTACATCAGTACCCGTATGTACACATGTAATCCTGTGAACACCCACGAAGCCTATAGCTGCCTGTAGTGTAGCTGTGCCACGCTCAGCCGGAGCTTCCCAAGCTTCCAAATACAATCTGAAGAAGCTTCAAGGACTTATGATCTCAGATTAGACCTGTGGAACAGACTTGTTTGGTTGGTTTCTAATCCTGCTTGGTTTGTATTGTGACTTTTCTCTCACAAATTGATGTACAGGAGAACAGTGGGGCTCAGAGCTGACTTGCCAGCAACACTCAGCACCCACTTAAGTCAATTCACCTCTGTGTGTTTGGTCCCACTCCTCAGCCAGAAGATTGTCCCATCTCTCTGCCCTGTACAAACTCTTTTTTCAGCAAACCTGTGTAACATTCCCTAACGCCACACCGTGTCAAACCCTTACCCTGCTGCAGGTGCTACACGTCATCTCTGATGGCTTTCAAGCTGGTGTGACCCAGCCAAACAAGCAGAGTCAGAGGGACAGGGTTTAGCACAGGGAAGTGTCAGACCCCATTAAGAGCTCTCCCACATTGCTGTCCCCAGCAGTTCTCCCATAGGTGGCCCTTTGAAGTGACCCCTCACACCACAGTGCCTGAATGGGCCAAGGCTGAGGTGTGGAGGATTTAGGCACATGGGCCTGTCCTGTGACTGAAAGGGAGAAAGAAGCTGGGCAGTGAGAAAACCTGAGGACTAGCAACACGAGTTTGTCCATCCCTGTCTCTAGAAGACCACCTGCACCCTCCTGCCACTGGATTTGTCCATGTGGAGATGGAGAGGGCACACCAGATGTAGACTGAGCAGTGATTCACACTCCCCTCCCTCCCACAGTCCATGTCCCGGTGGGGCCAAAGGCAGGCAATCTTTGTCAGCACACGGTATCTCCTGTCCGGGTAGGAGACCTCGTGTCAGAAAGAAAATATGAGAATTGCCATGATATCTGGTCCCACTGACAGACATGGGCAGGAGGAGAAAGAGGCAAGCAGTGTGGCTTTAGTCAGGGAGAGGCACGTGACAGTGTGGGATCTGATCAGCAATAAGTATCTGCACGAGATCTCATGGCTGGCTGTAGATGGCCTGCTGCAGACAAACCACCCTGGGACCAAGGAGGACCTACATGTGCTCCGACTTCTCCACATCCCAAGCCCGTCGCCACTCGCCCTTGGCGTTCTTGTGCCGGGCCACTCGCTCCAGGTCGATCTGATCGCGCTCCCTCTTCCAGCGGATGTACTCCGAGCGCTCCCGCCCGCTCATGGGGAAACTCAGCTCTCCAGGGCTCTTCTGGACCGACTTCCCACCATCCTGGGGGAGGTAAAAGAGCTTCTTGTTAATAAAAATGTCCTGAAGCAGCAGCATTCAGTGTATTCTGCGCTGTACCCCCTCGAAATCACAGAATCACAGAATCACAGACTCTTAGTGGTTGGAAGGGACCTCTGAGATCATCGAGTCCAACCACAAAAAAAACCCAAAAAAAACCAAACAACCAAACAAAAAAACCCAACAAACAAATACAAAACACACCACACCAAACGCCCACCAAAAACACCGCACCCACCAACTAAACCCCACACTCAACACCTCGCCATAAACCAATAACCTTGGGCACTAGAGCATGCCCTGAAGAGCCATGTCTATACGTTTCTTCAATCCCTCCAGGGATGGTGACTCCACCACCTCCCTGGGCAGGCTGTTCCAGTGCCTGACCACTCTCTCAGGAAAGTAGTTCTTTCTAATATCTAATCTAAATCTCCCCTGCCCCAACTTCAGACCATTTCCTCTGGTCTTGTCGTTCGTCCTTTGGGAGAAGAGGCCAACACCTGCCTCTCTACACCCTCCTTTCAGGTAGTTGTAGAGGGCAATGAGGTCTCCCCTCAGGCTCCTCTTCTCCAAACTAAACATGCCCAGTTCCCTCAGCCTCTCCTCGTAGGACTTGTTCTCCAGGCCCCTCACCAGCTTACCAGCTTGCTCACTAATAGTTGAAAACAACTTGAAGCTCCTCTCTCTAAAGTGATGTGCACACAGAAGGGCCCTGCTTCACCCACTGGGAAACAGGTCCCAGGGTTTATACCCAGGTCCCAGGGTTGGGTGACTTTGCAGAGAGGGAAAGGGAGGCAGGGAGAAGTTCCACAGCTTGCTTGGAGCCACGCTGTAAATCAGCAGCAAAATCAGAACAAGCAACTGTCCCCTCCCAGGGATATTCAACAATGACAATGACAGATTACGGCAACGTATTTCTGACAAGTTGTTGCACTTCATCCAGGCTACGTGAACAGTATTACATTTCAAAGGATTAAAACTGCTTCCACCTAAATCCCTGGATTTTGCCATCTGGATACATCCCTCTAGCCTTAATGAGCTGGGGTTTCACTGCTGTTTCCCCAACCTGACCCGCCGTGTTTCCTTGGTTCCTGTAGTGATATCGAACGTCCTGACCTGTGAAGCAGCTGCCACAAGATGTACATTTTAATTCTAGATATTCAGTGCCCACTGTACAAACTTTTGAAGCATTTCCCTGTAATTCTGTAGGCAAACAGCCACAGGATTGATTCCCCCCATTGGTACCTGCAGTCACTTTAACCCCAGGCATAAATTAGACAGCAGTTTCACCTGTGGTGTTCCTGCTCACCTGAAGGTTTTAAAACCAAACGTTCTCAGTTTTTCCTGGAAGAGGCACTTTGCTAAGGTTTCTTTATGGCATATAGTTAGTTCCTGGAGTGCTCTCAACATCTCCCAACAGAGTTTGAGGCTGAACTCCCATAGGAGATGAATCAGGCTGATGAATTCCCCTACCTGAAGACTCTGGGGCACTTAAACTGAAGTTATGCCTATGAAATCTTTCACAGGGACAGGGTCAAGAAGGAAGACACCCTTCTGCGACCAGCAGGCACCCAAAGGAGCCCACAGTCACAGGGCAAATGCCACCCTCATTGCTTTCAGCTCTTGGTTTATCCCTCCTTCCCCTGTCAGGCTCGTTAAGGGCTGCCACCGTTTGAAAATACAAAGCTTAACGACAAGACAGTTCAGAGCTGATGGAGCACGTGAAGAGGGAGAGGTGGGTAACCCAGCTGTCAGGTTAATGGACGTGGTGGAAACAGGAGCCAACTGGCCATGGTGTGTTGTCAAGCAACACTGTGTAGCAAATAGCTTAGTGCAGAGGCCAGTCCTGGGGTGCTAATTACCAGCGGATAATTCATCACTTCACACACGTGCCCTTCCCCGCCAGGCTCCCTCACCCCTTCCCCAAATGGGAATTAACTCCTCAGCCTTGCACTGCTGTTAAAAGCGGAGCAGCGGGGAAGGAGCCACTGAAAGCCCTGTTACCAAGGAGACCCACGTGCGTGGGCTGGAGATGGGGGGGCAGTAATTGCTCCTCCGTTCGTTAGCTGGCAGGAGCTGGGGAACCTGAGACTGCATTCCCAAGCAGGGAGAGATGAGGGCCACAGAAAGGCAGGGGAAAGTAAGGGCAAGCACTGGCCTGGAGATGTGCCCCACAACTTCCAGCCCCGTGGCAAGGCAGAGTGGGTCCTGCCATGATGGATCCTGATGCACCCTTAGAGGAGAAGGTTGCAGGAGCTGAGCAGTGCATGGCCAGGCAGAGCAGGGCTCTGCTCCACAGCTGGAGGACAAGGGAAGTGCCCTGTGCTACCACCTTGACCCTTAGGAGAGGGGAAGATGGAGGCTGGTGCCCAGGCTGTCTCCTGGGTAGGTGCAGGTGGCTGTGGGGCCTGCAGAGCAGGGGGAGCTGGTCCCTCACCAGGGCTCCCCCCATAGCTGCAGTGAGCTGGACCACCAAGTTATCATGCTCCCCTTTTCTGCGCTGGGGGGCTCAGCTGGAATCAACATCTAAGAGCCCATCTGTGTCCTCCTAATGAATCACATTGAGGTGGGGCTATTCAATTTGTGCTCCGCTAATTAACAGCATCCGCAGGCTCGGGGGAGCCAGTGCATCCTCCAGGGTTTGCATTAAACAGTCAGTGGGAAGGCCCGTGCTTTAATTTACCTCCATCCTGCTCAGCTCCTGCTGAAGTGAGGAGCTGCAGCTAATGTGGCCTTGAGCCTTTCAACCCCCAAGGAAGTGTTTTTTGGAGAGAACGGAGCCAGGGCTGTGCTGCAGCGTGGAAGAGCATGTGTCACCCTTTGTAACATCCCTGCTGCTGTGCTTCAGCAGCACCACAAGGTGCGAAGGGCAGGTCCCCTGTCACCCCCTTCCAGAGCAGCTGTGCTTCAGGTGTGTTAGGGGCTCAGCAAAGCTTTGGATGATCACAGAATCACACAGAATCACAGAATCTTAGTGGTTGGAAGGGACCTCCGAGATCATCGAGTCCAACCACAAAAAAACCAAACCAAACCAAAACAAAAAAAACAACCACCAAAACCCAAAAAAACACACAACCACCACAAAAACAACAAACCTAAAACCACCACCCACCAACTAAACCCCACACCCACAACCCCACATACTACACCCCACCACAAACCTATATGATGAGAGGAATGAATGGTGGGGACCACATCAGAGCATGATGCTGCTTTCTTTAGGACTGAGGCAACTCTTTACTGGTTGGGAGGCACATCCTACTGGTTTCCTCTTCCAAGACAAGGGTCCCCCCAAAGGGACACGGGGCCAAACTCACCTTCCGGCCATGGTCATTTTCTGGGCCTCTGTCGCTGTCTGACCTCCTCTTCTCTGCTGTTCTCCTCTCCTCTGCCTGCAAGAGCACAGACACAGGAATTACTTAGAATCACAGAATGGTTTGGGCTGGAAGGGACCTTAAAAATCATCTAGTTCCAACCCCCTGCCCTGGGCAGGGACACCTCCCACCAGACCCCTCTGATTTACTGAACTACAGACACTAAACAGGATGCACACCACGGTGCATTGCTGTGGTGTTTCTCTGCCCTGTTGTGGGACTGATGACACAGACACAGCCATGTCTGAGGCCAGGCTGGGATCACAGTGGGTCTTAGAAAAATAGTCTGCAGAGCGTAAATATCTTTTAGGAAAGGCTTTCTGCCCTGGTTAGATAGGATTTTTGGGGTGTCCCTGGGAGGGCCGGGGCTGTTGAGCATGCTGGGCAGATGTGGGGAGGGTACCAGCCTGCCCCCCATGCTGCTGAGCCCCTCTGGGGGTACCCAAGCAATCACCTCAGGGCAGGGGCTGGTACTTGTTGGAGGCTTGGCCACCCATCCCACAGCACGTGGTTTGCAGCACGGTGGCTGCCAAGTGGCCCAGCATTTATCAGGGCTGCCTCCCTCCTTCTGTAACCCTACATGGCAGCCCTGGAGCTGCCTCACACAAACACTGCTGTGAGTGGAGAGGCCCCGGTGTGCTGCAGCCCAGCTGAGGGCATCCCCAAATTCCCCTCCCCGCTCAACCGCGGCGGGGCCGGGGAGCGTGTGGGGCTGAGATTATCGCGCTGCCGTTCTGCACCGCCAAGCAAAACCGAAACACAAAGAGCAAAGTGGCAGCACAAAGTGCCAGGTCAGCCGTTCCAGAAAGCAGCAGTGTGGTGAGCTCCAGGCCAGGCTGGGAACAGGACTTTTATTCCAGTCATTTGCCAGCCCCAGGTTTAGCCCAGCATTACGGGGCCGGATGCATGAAATTTGGGCTACCAGCCTCAATACCTGCTGGCCCTGCCCAGCCTCCTGGGCAACTCCCTCCGCTGCAGCCTGCGCCTGTGTTCCCGGTGGGATTGTTGGGGGACAGTGTTTTTGGGGACTGTCCACATGTGCTAAATCTGAGGGAGGTGGTAAATGTGACTTGACAGGCAGTGCTCATGGACATCGCACTCAGGGCACCACAGCTTCACTGGTCTGACTGCTGTGAAGCTGGGGTAGCTCCAGTACAGGTGGAAACTTGCATAAACAGATCCTTGGAAATAACAAGGAAGGTGTTAGCTCCATTATCCTAGGGTTTCTCAGCAAAGATTTGGGAAAAAAAGCAGAGGGGTCTGTTCTCAGAGAAGCCACCCCCACCATACGCTGGCTGTTGCAGAATGGGATGGGATATAGTGAAAGATGATGCTGGGTATAAATTTCAAAAGGTTGCTGCGAAAAATTATGTTCCAAAAATGCTCCCTCCAGGCTCAAAGTCAACTGCCCATGCGGCCCAATGTGAATAATGTGATGGCCACAGATCCAACGGGTCTCTGCAGCCCCAAACTGAGACCTACAGAGAGATTGAACCAGCAGAGATGTGGGAAGTTTCCTTATTTGAGGAGGCTGGCGGGGGAGCACGGCGCAGATGGATGTTTGCCTTTAAAGCAGCTGTAAAAGAAACTCACCGTTTTAGAAAGAGTACAGCTGCTGCAAAAGAACTGGACCCCATTTGTCCCAGGGGAAACCTTATGTGGGAGGAGAGACGGGAGAGAAGGAGCACTGATTGCCTCGGAAATGCCAGACAGTTCACAACTGCTGGGGAAACTGAGGCAGGGAGCTGCAGGGGTGTGCTTATTGTTTCTCCTGCGTCTGCATATTTCTCCTGCGAGCTCATGCAAAGAATGATTCAGTCTGGACCCTTCACAATGCCTGATTGTGTCCCTGAAGACAGGAACCGGAAAGCCAGAGCATCCGCAGAGCCGGAGCAGGGAGCCAGGGTGTGCGTAAGCTGCGGGGGGAGCAGAGTGCTCTGCCTGAGCACAGCCCAGCACAGCCTGACTCCAGCCCTGCCTCTGCCAAGCAAAGAGTGAGCCTGAGCCCAGGGAACACGCTGAGATGGCCCGGCCAAGGGACCGCGCTGCAGCTCGTGAGACACAGGAGAAGATGCAGCTGCTGCAGAGCCAGAGACCCGTAACCCGGAGCCTGTCCTGTTTGTTTGGTTTTTTTCCCAAAACAGGCACCAGTTCTTCGGTGCACACCCCAAATCGCTCTGTCACAGGGACACTGTACAACTCTTCAGCCTTTTACACCCCTCACTCAAAGCCAGGCTGCCTTTCCCCTTAGTTTGCTTCTATTTTCCCTTCTCAGAGGGCACTGTGGAAGACGGAGGGGACCAAAAAAATTCTGGTTTTCTCCTACCAGGAAAGCAGGTCTGAGCTGTGCTGTTAGGAAAACACAGACTCACAGGACTGTCAAGGTTGGAAGCTTTGCTTTTGCACTGGCTGAGGAGCAGACTCTCGCCGTCGCTGCGTGCTGCCCCGGAGCTGCTGTCAGCCTGTTATGACACACCCAGGCCATGGGGAAGCAAAACATGTTTTTCTCCTCCTTCCTCCTCTCCGCCCCCAAAATTATGAAATATGACAATGACATTATCATCTCATAGTTTAACTGTTCCTGTACGGCAGGGGAAGAGATGTGAGGAGGAAGCAAAAACCTAAAGTCGACAGAGAAGATGATATTTGTTTATCCTGAGATTTATGCAAGGATTTCTTTATTTCTCTGGGTGTGGGGCAGGGAGGGCAGAGCCTGCTCCTGACCAGGATACGGCCCTGGGATCCCAAATGCTTTCTGCCTCTGGGTTGGTCCCACCTCCTGATGCACGTCCTCAGCTGATGTTGATGTGCAGTGGGGCCAGTGCTGATGCCATTCTCCAGCCACGCTAAGCATTGCTTTCTATTAAACAGTTATCCAAACCAAAAGCTTTGACGTCTCTGAGCTACTTCATTGTCTTCTTAATAAGTACCAACAGATGTGTTAAATTAACCTTTTGGTACCCATTTCTCCAGGCACATGTTGGCACCAGAACCGGCATTTCTTCTGCAGGAGGAGGTATTTGTAAGAGCTTAGAGCTCGGTTTCCAGCGCTCAGATCCCCCACTGGGCAGGATTTTTGAAACTAGTACATGAAAGGGTATTTTTTTCTGACTCTTTTGAAAAAATCTGCCTACTAATTGTGCTGCCTGAAGGGAGCTAAAGACTTCTCAGCCACCCTTTTTGTGCCTGTCTTCCCCTCCCATCTGCGATGTAAAAGCAAGTGTTTCTCCTGCCACAGGTTTGGTTCCTCTCCTGCATGAGCACCAGGGTCAGACTCATCCGTGTAAGTCCCTGAAAGCAGCTTTGGTGCCTCCTGATTACAAACAGTCATTTCTGATATACCATCCTGGGAAACTCTGTTAATAAAAGGACAATTTAAAAGCCCTGAAGCCCTATCAACTGTCCATTTAAAAGATGATTTGTAACCTGCTAATTAAGCATTGTACTCCACTGGTCCGGGGCTGCCAGCTTGCAGCTCTAATGCATTAATGAGCCTGAATCATTGCCAGAGCACGGAGAGGCTTTTTAGGAAAACTGGTGCTAATCATGAGGCGTTATCCCCGGCCCCGCTTGCAGATTTGGGGGCAGCCAGGCAGAGGTGGGAAGGAAGGTCCCAGATGTGGCACCTCCCAGCCAGCAGCAGCACGGGAGGGCATGAAGTGACACCAGTACAGCAACGTGCTCAGGCTAATTTGTTCCACAAGGAGACAGGATAAATTAGTCCCTCCAGCCTTGTCTGGTGCTAATAGAAAGCCAGCAGCAGCACAGGAGGGTGTGAAGTGACACCAGTACAGCAACGTGCTCAGGCTAATTTGTTCCACAAGGAGACAGGATAAATTAGTCCCTCCAGCCTTGTCTGGTGCTAATAGAGAGCAAAAGAGTCTTTCACGGGGCATTAAAAAACAGGTTTTAAGATGGCAGTGTAATATCAAGGCACCGGGGCTGTTCTGAAAAAGAAAATCAAGAGAACAGCTTTTTTTCCCTTTCATTTCCTCTTTGGCAGCCTCTGCCACAGCTGCGCCGTGGTCTGGGACAGACAATGTGGTGCTAGCGGGAAGCACCAAGGGCAGCAAGAATGGAAGTCTCTTCTTCTTTTAATTGAATTTCATCGTGAATGAAAATAGAGAAAAATGTGGGATGATGAGGATGCCCTTCAAATGTTTTAATAGGATAAATGTGCAAGTGCAGAGAGGAGGAGGCAAATCTGACAGTGGCCAGGCTTTGGGACGTTACCGAGGTGGGGTGATGGATATGATCCTCTCTCCTGGGCACCAAGAGGCCTCTGCTGGGGGGGAGGACACCAATAACCCAGCATGAGGTGGGAACCAGCTGGGGCATGAAGCAAAAAGCCCCAAAGGATGGACTGTGCTGGGGCAGTAAGGGTGGCTGAGTGCCAGCCCTCAAACCGGGGGGCTCAGCTCAGGTCCTAACACACAGCCTCTCAGATGACACCACCGATACCCCATCAGGCTCCCCCAGTAGTGGATCAATTTGGGGATAAAAATGAAGTTTCTCTTTTGAATTAACAACTAATTAAAGGATAGAAAACAGAAAGTGGCAAGAAAATGCCAGTTTCCATGGCGGATTAGCAGGGATGTGCCACTGGAACATGTGCTGCTCAACATGCTCATAAATGGTCTGGAAAAGGAGCTGAATAGAGAGATGACAGTTTGCTGATGACACTAAATCATCCAGGGCAAAGAATGTAATTTGCCAGGAAAGAGCTGCAAAAGATCTCTTGACATTGAATGCCTGCATCATAAAATTACAGACGAAATTCAATATCAATAATACAAAATAACTCACATGGAGAAAAATGCCCCTTCTTATATATACACACACAGGAATGAAGCCTGAACTATCATTAACACTCAGGAATGAAATTTTGGTGCTATTGTGAGGAGTTCTCTGAAAATGTTAGCTCAATTATTTAGAAAAAAAAGCAAAGAAAATGCAAAGTTGTTAGAGGAAGAATAGAGAACAAGCCAGAAACATTGTTATGTCACTGAGTACATCCACAAGAGCCCATGGCTTGAATACCAGGTACAGCTCTGGGCTTCTTGTATTAAAAGACTACAGTGAAAATAACAAAGGCACAAATGAGGGCAATAACAGTAATTGAAAATGTAGACCTACTTCCTCACTGGACATGTCTCAATAGGGTCAGTCTCTTCAGCCTGCAGAAGAGACGCTGAAGGGAGATGTGAAAAGGGTCAATAAAATCATTTGTGCTGTGGTAAAGGGAAGAGGGGCTGATCTACGTGCTGCTTCCCGTGACACAGGAACACTGGATGGAGTTATCAGGGAACAAGTTTGAAGAAAAAGAAGGGATGGATGTTTCAGCACAGCACGTCACTTAACGTTGCAGCTCAAATTATTTACTAGAGCATTTTATCCATTTTGGTATTACTAACTCTGATCTACTCTCTGCACTGCAGCCTTCCGGTGCCTCTTGGAGAAGCCCGTGGCTCTGAGGCACAGCATGTCACACAGACTTGCCTGCTGTCCATTTTTCAAGCACTGGTAAAAAGAAGCCCTTGGTTAAAACCCTAATCCTTGATGCAGCTCGGGAACAGCTGAAGTGATGGCTGGGCCAGCCCAACCCTCCCCTGGCTCAGCCAGCCCCAGCTGGCATGGCGTGTGAGATGCCAACGTGACCTGGCACTTCAGGCCCCATCTGCTTCTGTCACTGACCCCGGGAAAGGGCTGCCCAAGTGGGGATGGCAGAAAGCAGCTCCCAGAGGTGATGGTGAAATCTGACTGCTTGACTCTCCTACAGCCACATCCTCCGAGTCATGTTGGAAGGTGCCTGTGTCCTGAGAGCTGGAGTCCTGGCTGTCGTAGCTGTTGTCTGGTTACACAATTAAAACAGTAATGTGAAGATATCCTCATTAACTAGGGATGGAACAGGATCAGGCCAGGACAGTCTGCTGAAACACCAGAATCAAACCTGCCAGGCATTAGGGACCTCACACCCTCTTTGCCAGCCCACGATTCAAAGCATCAGATCCTCAGTGGTTCATAAGAAAAGGTGTAGGCAGATGTGGCTCTAAACCAGCACAGCTGCAGGCCTGCTCCCTAACAGCTGTGGGGCCAGTATGAGCAAGCCATCACCAACACCACATACGAGGACCCCCAGCCTCAGATTTCATGTTCCATAATAAAAGCACATGACATACAACCTTTTCCAGGGCTGTCCACACACTTCTAAAACAGGGCTCAGGATTTGAAGCCAAAATGCAGGCCCTCCTCCTGCTGCTCCCTCCTAGCACAGTCCCAGCCTCGATGACCTCAGAGATAAAGGTTTAAACAAGCCCAGCAAGAGCAGAAGCAGAGACTTGCCCTGCACATGACAGAATTATACTGACAGCCTCAAGGACAGCTACAGCACAGGCATGGGCAGGCCACTCTCATGCCACCATCGTGTCCAGGTGTGTTCGTGATGCCTACACTGAAAGAGGGGACATCTGCCACGTGAGCCTCTGGCGAATGGGTAGTTACTCACTCAGGCAGCTTAAATGAGGTTTATGGCTTTCAACAAACTGCTTGGTAGCTGTGAGAAAGGAGCGCTGGGGCTCTCAGAGCCTAGGTAAATCCTGGGGAGGAGAAGCTGAGGCTGAACGTGGGCAGTTAGCAGATGGCTGGCTGGTGTCCCAGAGAGGAGCTGCACAGGTCCCCCAGCGTTCCTGGGTGTGTTTGGCAGCTACACCAAGTGTTGTTTTTCCTTCATAGGCTTTGCTGACCCCGTTTGCTGCAGGCATTCCTACTTATCTGTGCAAACTCTCAAATAGGAAAATATCACATGCCTCCGTGTGTGTAAAGAGGAAGGTATTTGCAAAGAAGTATTTGAAATATGTTTCAAAGATTAACAAAGTGCGGCCAGCTCACCCAGTAGGTTATGGCCAGGCACAGCAGGACTCGGGTTTGGAAGCAGACATTGCCCAGCTCTGTTCACTTCTAAGCCACGCATCAAGAGGACAGGGCTCCTGACCCAGCCTGCAGCACGGCCCCCCAGAGCAGCTGGTAAGAGACAGGAGGTGAGATTCATGCCCTATATCCGGCAGTGCCGTCACCGATCCTTCCCAAGCAGCCCTCTATGGCCCCAGGATGCTGCAGAGCCTGCCAGCTCTGGCTAGGAGCTCAGAGAAGGGAAAGGACTGCAGCCTTTCCTCTTTCACAGCGATGGAAGCCAGAGTTCTATGGCGACAAACTCCACACTATTAATATATATTGTCTCCCAATGTCCTGTTGCTGGGCTAACGCCGAATCTGTCCCCATGGCCCTTGTGCCAGCAGAACCAGAGGATGCCCCTGACTCACTGCAGTACCCTCACTCCCAATGCACTTACTTTTTCCTTGTTATCCATGGTGATGGCAATCTGCATCCTCCTCCCCCTGCGGAAAGCCACCAAGTGGTCTGTCTCCTCTTCGCTCAGGTCTGGCACTCTGCCGGGGCCGGGGAAGCTCTCGGCGCGTTTCTCACTGACGATGCGCTTGCCCTGCGAAGGACAGGATGGGTTAGTGACACCCTGGGCACTGCCCGTCCTGGGACAGTGGCCACCCCCAAAATTGCACAGGATTTTGGTCTGGCAGATCAGAAACACGAGCCAGACAGTCAGTTGTTTATAAACCTGCCCGCCTAGATGCTGTAAGGGAGAGGTAGTATCACATGGGCTTGGCTAACTGAGCACCACTCAGGTAGGGTGGGACAGACCCTGTCCAGATGCTCTGCAGCACAAACACTGACTGCTGTTGTATTTCAGACAGGTGAGCCATCTCGCATTTGTGTCTGTGAAACAGGTGTGAAACTGTCCTCTCACCAAGCAACACACCCCATAAAACGTGAGGCTACTTTGGAGCAGAAGCCAAGAACCTGAAAGAGAAGGGAAACAGCGGTGGCCCCTCCAGCCTTGCCCACAAAGCAGTTACTGCCCAGAACGTATTGACACTTGATGATTTATCAGCTTCATTGTCATTGCGTGTTCATGTTTCTGGAATGATTTATTCTGCAGTGGAATAGTTTAGAAAAGTGATATATAAACTCCTTGAACAAGGACGGTTTACCCCTTTCAGATATTACTTCCAGCTGCCTGTATCAGTTCATGACTTTACTGCATGGATTTACATCTGGTTCTTATTCTGTTAATTATCTTTGTTGCTGGCTGAGCCAGTGCCCTCAGCCGTCACTTCCACAAAATGAGCACATCTTTTGTACAAAATACATACTTTTTTTTCTCATTTAAAAGTATCATCTTTCAGTTCCATCATGTGCCTTTTTATTTTTGCCTTACAAGGAAATGAGAGACATAATAAGTCATCTCCATCTTTATCTCTGATCTTCAACTGTATGATTCCTCTGCTCGGCTTTACCAGGGATGAACAAACCTCAGAAGTTTCCCTCTCTACAGGATGGCACATTCTCCTCTGGTTTTTCTCCCTGGACTTCCACCCATATTGGAATCTTGAGTTCAAAGGAGCTCAAAATTTCCAAGTAAATTTTAGTGAAACTTGGGAACTCTTTGTTGCTACGAACTTGGTTTCAAAAACAAACAGGACACCCTGACCTCTGGTTTGTACGGGCGTCGTGTGAGCTCATGGACTTGCCATGACTTACGATATCAAGATGTCCTGGGTGAGCCTCATCCTCACTTGGCTCCACCAGGAGCGCAGATGTGAGCACGGAGGGAGCCCTGCTGCAGACAGCCTCCCTCAGCGGGGCCTTTTTTATTGCTTGTCCAGTCATCAAGCTTCCTAACAGATGATAGATGTTTCAGGAGGTACTGGAGTATTTCCAGCATCAGATCTTTAGTCTCTTGTTTATTCTTCTCTCACATCTGTGTAATTTTGCTGTCTCAGCAGAGACAGCTCTTGAGCTGGTCTGACGCGTGCGAGGAGGAGCAGGTCCCTGCACTGCCCTTGTCCTGTCTGCCAGAGCTGTGGGACGTGCTGGGAACCTCTTCACACATTCCCTGAGCACCCCCAGCTCTGGGCTGAGGTTTCAGCCGTAGCTCCTGACAAGTTTTGCTGCCCTTAGCAGGACCCTTGCTGTTTCTGCTTTTCTTGAAGTAAGTGAAGCCACATGTTGCGTTCAAAGCAAGGATCTGCTGCCAATCTGCTCAGTGCCACTCTAGCACCTTCCCTGCTGTTCTCTGTGTTTGTGTCAATGCACTCTCCTGCTCTGACTGCTGCCGAGGCCCAACATCTGGGAGCCATCCCCAGAGATGTCAAGATCTTTTTCCTGAGAGAGTAAAACCTGATAGTCAAAAGAACAGGCAATTATTTAAATATGGAGTGCAACTGTCTTGGCATCTACCACAGCCAGACATTTAGGTGTCCTTTTATCCTTTTACCAGGATATATGTCCTGGGAAAGCCCCCATACCTCTGAACTGTGAGCTGCTTTGAAGGCCTAATCTATGTATCTGTCTTAACAAGGACATGATTTTATCAGAGGCCAAGCAGAGCCAGAAAGTTCAAAGCAGAATCTAAACTGCTCTGAAATCCTAGTTTTACTCCCCCTCCCTGAACAGGGTGTGCTACACTGTCCTTAATCACACATCCCCCTGCAGTCACAGCAGTACATGTGATTGCATTACTGGAAGTGACTGCCCTGCTCCTAAAATAAAGGCAGAACTGGCTGAAGATGTGAAGGTCAATGGCAGCTTTGGCAGGAGTGAGCAGAAGACAGTGGATTTTAAGGAGCTGAGAGCAGTAAGGAAGGCAAGCAGCAACTAGAGACCACAGGCTTCAGGAGAGCAGATGTTGACTCATTCAGGGAACTGGCAGGTGGGATCCTGCAGGAAACTGTCTTGAAGGAGCAAGGAGCCCAGGAGACCTGACTGATTTTCATGAAGAAGGCACAAAAACATAAGTAAGGACTTCCTGTTGTACAAGAAAATGAGCAGGTGTGGAAGGAGCCCCACTGGGCTGAGCAGGGAGCTCCTGGCTCAGGAGTAAAAAGGGAGTGTGTGGGAGGTGGGAAAGGACAGGCTTTCAAGGAAGATGAGAGGAGCAGGACCTGGGCATGCAGGGATGGAGTTAGGGAAGCCAAAGCTCACCCAGAGTTGAAACAAGTGAAAGATGTGGAGGTCAGCAAGAAGGACTTCTGTGGATACATCAGCAGCGAAGAGAGTTGAAGCAAGGTGTTGGCCTGCTGCTGAATGGGGTGGGCAACTGAGTGACACAGGGCTCGGAGATGACCGGTTACTCCATGCCTTGTCTTTTGGTAGCATGGTCTGTTATCTACCTCCCATAGACCCCTAACCCAGCAGTAGTCAGAGAAATGCTTCACTCCCTCAGTGCCCTGGAAGATTCAGTTCTGGACCATTTAAATACAGTAAGAAGGTGGGACTGGGTGGGCTGCATCCCAGGTGCTGAGCGTGTAGGTTGACTGCTGTCAGGCTGCTGAGCATCTCATCTGGTGGGTAACAGGACAGACTACACCTTCCTCGAGTTCCTGCTGGAGGATGGTGCTGCCATTCAGAGGGACCTTGACAAGGTGGAGAAGGGTCAACAAAACCAAATGACAAGTCCTGGGACCAAAGAACCCTGAAGAATCCCGAGCATCGCTGCAGGTCGGGGCCCAGCTGGCTGGGAGCAGCTCTGCAGAAGGATTTTGGTGGGCAACAACTTGCCCAGAAGTAAACAGTGAGGAAGGCTCGTTGCTCACTTGGTTCCATTAGCATGAGGATGGACATCAGGCTGAGGGAAGGGATTGTTTCCCTCTGCTTGGGCCATATTTGAAGAACTGTGTCCAGTTTCCCTTCACCGTAAGACAAGAGAGGTACAGACAAACGGGAAAGAGCCTGCTGGAGGGTAACCAAGCCTCGGACACGTGTGTGCCCACGTCTGCAGCCTGCTTCAGCTGGGAAATAAAACTTACTTAGCTTTTACACCTGTACATGTGTCTATATGCACACGTGCATGTGTGCAGACGTATGTAAGTAACAGATTTAATATGCAAGTATGAATTTAGTAATTTTGCCTGTTTTCTGCAGGCTGTTATACACCTAGAACTAGGCAGCAGAGACCAGAACTGAGGATCACAGCCCCGAGGCTCACAAACACTTAGCTCTTGGCTTTTAAGCGGCACCTGCTTCTGAACGTCTGAATCACATCACGTCCAGAGGTAACGTGTCTCCATTGCCAGAGGTATTCGCCAATACAAACACAGGATGTTTTAAAGCAAAAAGAATATCTCAGATCCTGAAATCCTGTTTACGTTCTATGATTCAGACATTTTATTCCAAAATGTCACTGAAACCGGAGTCTGGAATTAGAATGCTCAGCACAGGATCCCTGCTTGCAGTTGAAGGAACCAGTGTGGCTTTTCTTTATGTCAGTGCAAATCACTATTAATGGACGTGGGTGGAAGAAAAATTAACCTTGTGAATAGACTATCTTGGTCTTGTATTTCAGACCACAGAGCTGGGCTGGATAATTTGAAGCTGTAAATCTCTCCTGCCATCCCCTCTGGGTTCATGGGGCAATGTCTGTGGCCACAAGAGCATCCTCTGGTCTCACTTGTGTTGGCAGTTATGCCAAGAAACTGAGCAGCTGCTGAGCAGCTCAGAAATACAGTGTTAACACGGTCATTTTAGGAAGTTACTGTGTATGGGCACTAGCAGGCCATGCTGGTGCTCTTACCTTCTGATAAACACAGGAAAACGCAGTTTTATTTAACTCTTCCGTTAAAGACTATGTAAATGGACATCTCTTACGCGACAGCTTGCAAAGTTGTGCTAACACAATCCTGTGTCTTCTAGCTAGATGAACAGACACTTCCCATGGTGATGACAAGGCAGTGAAAACCAGCACCTTGTAAGCCCCTCTGAAACACTCAGCCTGCCCAGTTAAACCTGCTCCCACAGCTGGAAAGCATGAAGTGATGAACACCACTGTGTGTGCTTCACAGTTCCCCTTTGTAAGGAAAACTAAATCCTTTCTTATGCCTGGACACATGCTTAGCGGGTTTTTTAGGCCCCCTACACATCATGGGTCTGTGACTTAACCCCAGAAATGTCAGTGGAGTCACAAGAGGGACAAATAAAGCCTCCCTGGTTTGGAATTGGTGTACACAAGACTTCTCCTCTCTCCCTTCTCTCCCCCCAGTAGCCTCTCCTCTTCTAAAGTCCATCTTTTGGGGAGGATGGCTCTGTAAAGCCAGCTGGGCAATCGCCCAAAGCAATCTGTAAAGCCATTTTCTATGAAAGAATCTCTTTCTTTTCCCCAGCATCTGCCTCCCTGGCAGCAACCCTCCAGCCGCCACCGAGGGACTCTGCTGTTTCCTCAACACCCAAACAGTCCCCACAAAGGACGGGGCTCTCCAAGGCTCTTGGGAATCACAGGAATGACTGGAGTTAGACTCTCCTGCACAGGGTGCAGTCCTGCATGATTGTAGCCTATTTGGGGAAGAGCTGAGATCTGCTGACATCCTCTGAAGGCAGCCAGACAGTGTGCCTTGCACTCTTCACTGTCCTGTCTCCCTGCTCTGTTTGTAGCCTGATTCAGAAGCTGAAAATACGGTCTGGTGGACACAGTGTGCCTTGCACTCTTCACTGTCCTGTCTCCCTGCTCTGTTTGTAGCCCGATTCAGAAGCTGAAAATATGGTCTGGCTTTGCTTTGGAACCACTGAACTGCTCCAGCAAGAGATACTCAGGTGCTGAAGCTGTACATCGCTTTGTTCTTCAATGGCTATTATTCCCAGGAAGTATCTTTGCTCCAGGGATAATCCTGAGTTTCCTGGGACATTACAGGCACTAAATCTTCCCTGCTTTAAGTTCTGAGGCATGCACAGTAATCCCAGGTGTGAGCTGGAGAGCTGGGCTTGTTACACCCTGAACAGAGCATCAATACAAGGTGTTCAGCATTCCAGTTAATTTTTTTTTTTAATTAAGCAAGCCCAGTGATGGCTTAGCAAGGTAATAGCAAGCTATTAATCCGTAACTTGTACATCAAACATTAATTCTTGCTTAGGCCAAGATCTGTTCCCTAGGGGTCTTCAGTGTTTTGGTGGTGACAGCCTGTCCTTCAGACAAGTAACATGGTCACTAGGAACTCCTGCCAGGGAGGCCCCACACCAGGGATGATGTCTGGAAGATGCTTCATCGCTGCTGTCAGAAAAAGCCCTTCCTGAGGAGGCACATGGGCCCTGAGTGCAAGTGACAGCAAAGCTGCTACCTGAATACCTGAAAACCAATGCAGAGGATTTTGTACCCAAATCCACGAGCAGGACAGAAGCCTCAAGTGCACTATTAGATGTACAGGGAGGTGGCACCTTCCTTGGGCCATTAGATGTTAAAAGTCCCAGTGGGAAGGCTGGCACGTTGGCAAAGCCATTAAACCCTGCAGTTTATAGAGCCGATGGCAAGGAAGGCTCAGGCTGAGAGAGAACATAACGACTGAGCAGAGCTGTGACAGCTGGATTTGGGGCTGAGAGACCACCAGCCTCTTGAGGTAATACCCTCTCTCCTTCCCTCCCTCGCTCCCCGTATTGCTTCTTGCAAAGAGGCACCACTTGAAGGCGCGTTCTGCTTGATGTGCTGTCCTGCTTTGAGATAGAACAGAATCCATTTTCTTTTCAGTAATTTCACTTTTCAGTTCAGTCTCTTCCAACTAACTCTGAAATTAACAGTGTATCTTTCCACAACCTGTGTCTTTTTTTTCCTTGCTTATTAAGAACACCAGTGATTTCCTAGATTGCCTGTCCCACGTTGGGAAATCCTGGCCCTGGGTGGGCCAGCTCCCAAAGCAAGGGATGTCAGCTGAGGAAGGAGCCCACACAGAGCCAACGGGACCAGAGAGAGGGGCCCAAAGAGTGGGCAGCAGAGCCCCCTCCTCCCCACCACAGGGCTGGTCCTGGCTCCCTCACTGCCACAGGAGAGTCCAGACTCTGGCACCAGTTATTTAGCTGCTGTCAGACAAACCCACACTGCTCCCCTTGCAGCATTTCACTGAAAGACTGGACACTGAGAAGTGCCCACCTTCTGTCCGAGGCACGCCCCAGATTTAACGTAGGGTTAAAAATGCCTGTCTGAGGAGTGTCAGGAAAAAGAACAAGGGGAACAAAGGGAAACCCAGGAGTTCTGTCCAGCTGATGCCATTTCCCAGCTGCCTTTCCTTTGGGGCTGCTCCCGTTACAGCCATTTGCAGTGTTTAGGGCTGCATGTAAAGGGTTTCTGCACAGCCCAGCTGCTGTTCTGCTTGAGCCTCGCAGCGGCCACGGGAAGGCTGGGGACGGCCCCTTTGGTTGTCCCAGCGTCACTGAGCAAGTCTCTCCAGGGACACTGGGTGAGTCCTTGCTCGCTGGGAAGCTGCAGCAAATTATCTACCTTCTCTTTTAATCTTCAGCAGCCCAGAGGACACCTTAACGGGGCAGCAGCCACAAATAAGCTTGTAATTCATGTGATATCAAACACAATTTTGACCAAAATACTAATAAATTTTTTCCCCTCTCGCCCAGAAGAGCCCCATGCTCTTCCTACTCATCCATTTTGAGAACTATATTTAAAGTAACTAAAGGATGATTCTGGATTGATGCCACTGGAACATTCACCAATAAATCAGTTTTCCTCTGCCATCAAGTCAGGCTGCTGGGTTGTGCTTTACACCAACACTCAGGAGACACTGGGGGGCTGCTAAGGCCTGGGAAAGGCACTGAATGCAAGCAAATTCATATATACCATACAAGAGGGAACTTACAGGGAGTTTCCACACAGGTTTCTGTGATTCCAGCAGAAAAATCTCAGAGGTCTATTAATCAGCCACACCGAAAAGCCCTGGCACAGAGTTTAAGGCAGCAAAGGGATGCAGCTGCCAGTGCTTTGTGCTAATACAAATCCCCATCCAGGACTTGAATTCTGAGCTATAAATTACGGCTCTAGCTCCAGGGGACACAGCCTGCCTGCGGGAGCCACTCACTCAGCAAAGGCAATTGCCTCAAACAGAAGCCCCCCATGCAGAGCTACACAGAGACCAGAAACCTTGGAGGAGACTCTCAAGTATCTCATTGGCAAAGCTCAGTCAGTAACGAGGATGGTGAGATTTCTATGTACCCTCTCTTCTAAGAAAAACCAGAATTTTTTCCCCTTCCATCAGGAGGTGGTTTGCTTGTGCTGGAATGAGATTTCATTTGAAGGGGATGTTCGCGCTACCAGCAATCTATCTGGAACAAAGGAAATGAGAGGCCTCAGACACTTTCTCCTGAAAAATCATCCTGAAAGGTGCATTATTTACTAAATGATTCAGTTCCTTCAAGGAAGCATATAATGACTTCATAATGGCAGAGTGATTGTGGCCTGTTTCTTCGTGGAAAGAAAGGGTAACTAGGTCATGGAGAAACAGAAATGAAAAGGTATTCAAGCCACAAAATCAGAAAAATATTTCCAAGCTGCCTCAGAGGGAGAAATGTGTCTTTGCCTTTTGTTTACAGCCAAGGTTTTCAGAGCTCCTACCCCGAAGCACCAGGGAAGCAGGAAGGATGGGGTTTTGCTTCATTACGCTGGGGAATGCTTTTGGCTGGGACCTCAGTCACAAAGAGCCCACTCTCCTTCTGTGGGCCAAGCCCGTTGCCGTGCCTAAAGGGGGACCCAGGGGAGCACCATCTGCTGCCACTCTTTCCTTTTTCCAGTGCTGCTGTGACTCCACACGGGAGTGTCCAGGGAAGTGCCCAGGAAGGGACGCTTGGGGATTTAAAAAATTAAGTAGCGTTTCCAATTACTTTTGCTGGTTTGCACAATTTTTAATTAAGTCTGCAAATACTGTGTCACACTTTGTGCTCATCACACTGGGAACGCCAACAGATACCCTTGTGACTCTGCTTTCACTCTGTGTTTAGGACTTCCTGGGATACAGCAACAAGGAGAAATGATGCTGGTTTTACCACCAAACGTCGCTGCCTCCCTGGGAATAGCTGGGCAGTAACACAGCTAAACCTGCCCCAGCTCCTGCTCATTTCCATGCCCTTTCCAGGCACAGAAATACAGTTTAACAAACCCACTGGTGGCCCAGGAGGGCAATGAGGTGATGGATCTCTCAGAACCAGCTCCGTGTGGATGGATGGAGCATGAGGGGTTCAGGAAGCCTGGGAGCTGGTTCCCATGAGTCAGACATGGGGAGGGAAGTGCGTGGCAAGTCGAGATGAAGATGATGCTGTGCTTAAGGACTGAGAAATGACAGAAAAGGAGCAGGAAGGGGACTATTCCTTTGGAGATGAGACACTGGGGGGACACGCTGAGAAGAAAGCTCAAGTGAGAGGCAGAACAGAAGCTCCTTTGTAAGTCAAGAGGCTGCAGTGTAAGAGGAAACCTCTTCCCTGCTCACCTTGGCTTTGTTGTCCATGGTAACAGCCAGCTGCATCCTCTTCCCCATCCTGAATGTGAACATATGATCTGCTTCCTCCTCCTCCTCCTCTTCCTCGCTGCCAATGCCGAACCCCGGGCTCGTAGGACAGGGGCTCCCCCATTTTTCGCTCACAATCCTTTTGTCCTGGAAAATGAGTAATTTCCATTAGCAAATTCAGGCCCCTCAGCTCACCGATGTGATTCCCTTCCCCACACACACCTGCCCATGAGCAGGGGGCCCAGCTACAGAAAAGGGAGGCCTTGCCCCAGCGACGCTCTCTGTGCCCGGCACGGTGCCGTGACATTCCTAGGGAACAAGGGGCTCCTTGTCTGCTCAGCAGCAAAACCCACAATTACAGCGGGTCTGGAAAATCCTTTGCACTTACAAATCTGACATTTCAGACTAAAATGCCAGAGTCATAGGAAACAAATGTCATGCTCATCTCTTTCTGCAGCACTCTGAGTTACATCAGGAAAGCCTAAGTCCTGATGGAGATGGCCTTGGAAGCCAAGTGGCTGGCTCCTGAGGGTGGTGCTCACCATCGAGAGGGCTGGGCTATCTTGTCCATAGTGTTCAGTCTGGGTAATTGCATCTTTCAGGTCCTGTATGAGAGAAAAACGTGTGCATGCACCTCTGGAGAATGGCAAGGGCCAGGGAATGGCTGAGACGTGAGCAATGCACTAGGCTGGATCTAACAACCCAGCAGTTCTGAGGATGGGCTGGCCTGCTCTGACAGAGGACTTTCCCCAGGGGTTCCAGCAGGACTGGCTGGATGATTTACCAAGCCACACACTGCCAGGAGGGGTGGACAGGGCTTGCCAGACACAGATCCAGTCCGGTTAGGAAGGAAGCCTGGCACTTGCAGCATTTTCCCCAGTTGTGGAAAGCCCCAAAGCAACCAAGGGCCAAGGCTGCCTGTTCACACATTCATTTACTTGTTTGTTAATCTGTGTCTGGGTACAAGTGCCTGGGCACGGCTGAAAAATTTACATTGATCAGTTAAAATCACATTGAGCACACACCTCTCCAGTTTTTACACCCTCTTTTGAGGGCTTAGGAGCTATGTCCCACGCCTGAAAAAGCTTTGCTGTGGAGGCTACTCCTCTCAGAAATGTCACTTTGTTGAGGCAGGACTGGAGTGAGAACTGGCCGATGGTGAAGGAGAGGCAGCACTTACATTGTGAGCCTTGGTGATAGTAATCATGAGTCCATCTTGCTTGGGTCTCCTGGAGGTAACAGCCATTCCCTCCTGCTCAGCTCGCTTTTTGTCCTCTTCTATTTCCTGAAACAGATATATATCCTTATCATCAGCCAGTACCTGGATGCCTATAGATGTCCATTTTCCTATTTAGGATTTCTCCTGAGTGGACCCACCTCTAAGAAGGAGTGGACCAACTTGTGTCTCATCCGTGTGCCCTTGGGAGGGGTCACAGGCAGCTGTGACCTGCATTACCTGCCACTGTGCCACAGGCACCTTAGTAAATCTCTTGTTGGCTCAGAGTGCCTGCTGTGGTCACAGCACATGCAATGGGAAGCAAGCCCAGAGGCTGAAGACACACCAGGTCTGCAGAAAGGGAGAACTGTGCACAGGAGCCATGGTCCCTGTGCCAGTCTGGGGACAGGGCATCATCTGTGGCCAAGGGAAGGTGGCTGAGATCTGGCTATCTACTAGGCAGCTTCTCCTAGAAGCCAAGGGGTGGTGGCAGGTGGGCAGCATTTCATCCGGGGGTGAGAGATCCTCTCCCCCAGCTGCTTGTGGCATTTGACCTTTCCCATTGCTTTCCACCAGGTACCATTTTTTGCTGCCACCAGAAAAGGTCTAAAATAGCTTCTGTGGTATCAAAGGAAATGTCCTCTAAGCAAGGCCTAGCCCAGAGCATCACTCCCATCTCTCAGCTCTGGATCCAAGACACAAAGTGCCCTCTGGATTTTGGGCTTTCAGCACAGCTGTCAGACTCCAGACTGCCCACCCAGCTGGCACATGTTAAAGAGCCCCTAAAGCCAGGTGGCCTCAGGCACAGGCAGAACATCCCAGACAAGCCAAGGGGCACCCTCTGTACTGCTCTGCACGGCCATATGCAGACACTCGTGGAGAAGGGTAAACACACCCACAGGGAGAGCTCCAGGTCACCATAATGTCACCCAAACCAGCTCATACAAGCCAGGCTGGCTACCTCCTGCAGGCCACTAGGCAGACTCTCTTGGCCAAGGCAGGATCAAAAAACCCGGGGGTGTAGCTGGAGCACTTCCTCCTCATACAGAGGGTAAGGCTGCAGTAACCAACAGCCTGCTAAAGCCTTGATTTGCCTTCATCTTCCTTGTGTTTTCATGGGAACTCTTTTGGACACCTCCGTGCTCCATGGAAACACTGGGACTGGCCAGGGAAGAGCTTCAACTGATACCACTGCCCTGGTAGGGGAAATAAACCTATCAAATGTCTTGAGGAAGCAATGACCTGTGCATCCAGGAGGATAAGCAGGAGGCACTGGGAAGGACAGACAGGAAAGTCAGCGAATATGAGGTGCAGGGGTGGGAAAGGTGTGATGCAGACAGAGGAAGACAGCAGGGCAAGAGGAGACTCGGCAGCAGCAAGGCAAGCAGCATGACCCTGCTTTCCAACGCAATTCAGGAGCTGTAGCTAAAGGCAGAGCTCTGCCCACCTGCTCCAAATGCTTCCTGACGTTAAAACATTAAATATATAACAAAGTCACTCTGACACTGCTGACCATTTCCTGCACACTGTGAGCTGAGGACTCCAAATCAGAGCTGGGGAAGGTCAGAACCCTCAGCCTCACCTGGTATCTCCGTATGAGCGCTTCATTCTTTTTCCGCAAAGCCAGGATTTTCTTATCGAGTTCAACATCTTTCTGTTCTTTCTTCCTTAAGACTGCATCGTCCACAGCAGCATCCTGAAAACAGAAGGAGTGAAGATCTTCTCAGTTGTCACACCAAAACAGGATGAAACCTGCTCCTGTTTGGATAGGGTGGAAAGCGTAAGCCTTTCCCCACCATTTCTCCCGTTTGTCCTCCATTAAAAATAATATTGTATCTTGTAAACTGATTTTTTCCTGGCAGAACTGACCTTTTCTTTTTTTACAGTTTTTGTTGATCAACGAGGCAGTTAGAGCAAAAAGCTGCTGCCCCACCTTGATGGCTGTCGGTAGGCTTCAGAGTTAACACCCTGCTTGGCTGCATGCAGTAATTGACACCTCTCTCTGCTGTTGGTTCAGGTGTTCTCAGGCACATCAGTTCCCCTCCATTTACATTCAGAAAGCACCTTGGTTACCACAGGGGGATATCAAATTGGATTTTTAAAATTCTTGTGACAGCAGCGTCTAGCGAAAATGAATGCTGAGGAGTATCAACCCACTGCAGCAAGCAGATCCATATCGTCTAGACTCTGCCTGGCGTTTGCATGAGGAGCAAGGTGGCAAGGCTGAGATCTCCAAGGCACTACAGGTTTATTTTTAAACAGCGTTTTTGTGCTCTCCTTATCAGCGTGGCACCTGCATGCTGCAGGGATCTCATATTCCCTCTCCTCCGCTCACACCGAGAGCTGGATAAGACAAAGTGAGAGTGGGGAGGGGAGGAAAGGAACCCCAAATCTCTGAGCAGGCACTGCAGGCCTGGATTTCTGTTCTGCTGGGATTCCAACTCTAACCACCAACAGGCTGCCCCCAGCCTGCTGCCTTTGCCATTCACCCCTGTGCTGTAAATCTGCCCTGCATCAAATCCAGCTGCCACACGCGATGCACACTACCCACAGCCTCAGCAAAGTTTGAAGGAATCGAGAAGCAAAAGGAACGAAACTGTCACCCATCCTGCTACAACTGGATCTTGCTCCTCTGGGGGACCCTCAGGGCTGTGTCCCTGTGAAGAGGAAACATCCACCGTGTAGCCACAGGCCTACCCAGGGTCCCCGAGGGCTAGCAAAGAGGATTCTTTGTGCCAATGTCCTCTGTGGCCCCAGTGCTGCACATGCCCCTCTCGTCCCCGTCCTCTCCTTAGACCTGTCAAGGTCTCTGGGGCTGGTGTCAGTCCCTGCTCTCGGGCACCTCAGCCCCCAGCCCTACCCTGGGGCAGGAGTGGGGCCTGCTCAGAGGAAGCTGTGCCCACCTCCATCCCCAGCCCTGGAAACTCTCCCCGCTCCCCTGCCCGGTGCTAACCTGACACCTTCTACGAGCCTAGTCCTTCAACCACCCCAGTCTCATGGGTATACTGGGAAAAACTGGCGAAGATTCCATCACGAGGACGCGGCTGCAGGGCGCCCTGTGAGGGAGAGGCCACGGGCCGCCCCCAAATGGTTCCAACCGGTTCCAACCAGTTCCCGCAGGGGCCGCCCACCAAAACTCAGCCAATCAGAGGAGCCCAAGGGGCCTCTCAGCCAATCAGAAGTGCCCATCGGGCCTCTCAGCCAATCAGGAGGGCCCGTGGTGCCCCTAAGACCCCTGAGGGGCGAGGCGCCCCAGCAGCCCGCGGGGAGCAATGGCGGCCGTGGGGAGCGGGCTGGGAGGGAAGGGGAGAGGGGCCAGCGCAGGAGGAGGTGGAGAACAGAAAGGCCCTGCTGGGGGGAGGAGGAGAGAGTCACAGAATGGTTCAGGTTAGAAGGGACCTTAAAGCCCCCCCAGTGCCACCCCCTGCCCTGGGCAGGGACACCTCCCACCAGCCCAGGTTGCTCCAAGCCCCCTCCAACCTGCCCTTGAACCCCTCCAGGGATGGGGCAGCCACAGCTTCTCTGGCCAACCTGGGCCAGGCTCTCACCACCCTCACACCAAACAAGTTCTTCCCCACAGCTCAGCTCCATCTCCCCTCTTTCAGGGTCCAACCCTTCCCCCTCCTCCTAGGGCTCCCCTCCCTCATCCAGAGTCCCTCCCCATCTGAAAGAACCCCAAATCTCTGAGCAGGCACTGCAGGCCTGGATTTCTGTTCGGCTGGGATTCCAACTCTAACCACCAACAGGCTGCCCCCAGCCTGCTGCCTTTGCCATTCACCCCTGTGCTGTAAATCTGCCCTGCATCAAATCCAGCTGCCACACGCGATGCACACTACCCACAGCCTCAGCAAAGTTTGAAGGAATCGAGAAGCAAAAGGAACGAAACTGTCACCCATCCTGCTACAACTGGATCTTGCTCCTCTGGGGGACCCTCAGGGCTGTGTCCCTGTGAAGAGGAAACATCCACCGTGTAGCCACAGGCCTACCCAGGGTCCCCGAGGGCTAGCAAAGAGGATTCTTTGTGCCAATGTCCTCTGTGGCCCCAGTGCTGCACATGCCCCTCTCGTCCCCGTCCTCTCCTTAGACCTGTCAAGGTCTCTGGGGCTGGTGTCAGTCCCTGCTCTCGGGCACCTCAGCCCCCAGCCCTACCCTGGGGCAGGAGTGGGGCCTGCTCAGAGGAAGCTGTGCCCACCTCCATCCCCAGCCCTGGAAACTCTCCCCGCTCCCCTGCTCGGTGCTAACCTGACACCTTCTACGAGCCTAGTCCTTCAACCACCCCAGTCTCATGGGTATACTGGGAAAAACTGGCGAAGATTCCATCACGAGGACGCGGCTGCAGGGCGCCCTGTGAGGGAGAGGCCACGGGCCGCCCCCAAATGGTTCCAACCGGTTCCAACCAGTTCCCGCAGGGGCCGCCCACCAAAACTCAGCCAATCAGAGGAGCCCAAGGGGCCTCTCAGCCAATCAGAAGTGCCCATCGGGCCTCTCAGCCAATCAGGAGGGCCCGTGGTGCCCCTAAGACCCCTGAGGGGCGAGGCGCCCCAGCAGCCCGCGGGGAGCAATGGCGGCCGTGGGGAGCGGGCTGGGAGGGAAGGGGAGAGGGGCCAGCGCAGGAGGAGGTGGAGAACAGAAAGGCCCTGCTGGGGGGAGGAGGAGAGAGTCACAGAATGGTTCAGGTTAGAAGGGACCTTAAAGCCCCCCCAGTGCCACCCCCTGCCCTGGGCAGGGACACCTCCCACCAGCCCAGGTTGCTCCAAGCCCCCTCCAACCTGCCCTTGAACCCCTCCAGGGATGGGGCAGCCACAGCTTCTCTGGCCAACCTGGGCCAGGCTCTCACCACCCTCACACCAAACAAGTTCTTCCCCACAGCTCAGCTCTATCTCCCCTCTTTCAGGGTCCAACCCTTCCCCCTCCTCCTAGGGCTCCCCTCCCTCATCCAGAGTCCCTCCCCATCTCTCCTGGAGCCCCTGGAGGGACAGAGGTCTACCCAAGTGGGACCCAGGGGGGAGCCACCAGGGGAGAACCCCCTGTGCTGGTGCTGAGGTCCACCCGAGTGGGACCCAGGGGGAGTCACCAGGGGAGAACCCCCTGTGCTGGTGCTGCCCTCATCTCACCGAAGGCACAGGGTGCCCCGTGCTGAGAGGGACAGAAAACCAAAAAATGGGGTAGAGTAGTATGAGGAGGGAAGCAGGGGTGTTTTTTCCTAGGGGTGTGTTTGGGTTTATTTTTCTTTAAAACCAGAATTGGTTGTTAATAGATGGTTAATTGGGAAATAAAATTGATTAAAGCTCTCTGAAGCAGCAAAGCATTTTCGCTCGCAATGCATGGGCAAGGCATGTTTTTGCCCATCCCTGGTGGCTTCCTGTCCTCAGAAGAACACCGAGACTCTCAGGACAATGGTTGGTTTCCCCATTTTCATGGGACGAACCCGCGATGCCTCCCTGCGAGCGGGTGTTCCTGCTGCCCTCCCCTCTTCAGGGCCCGTGGCTGTGCCCACCCCCAGGGCAGAACCCCCAGCAGCATCCTCCACGGCAGGCCCTGCAGCGCTCCGGGCTGGGAAGAGCTTCTGCGCAGGCAAGGAGGGGTTTTTCCTTCATTAATCATGACATAGCAGGTGTGACCTCCCTTGGGGAAGGCCACGTCAGGGGCCAGCCACGGCAGCTGGGGACACGGGATCTGGCCCTGAGGCCCGCCATGCCCCGGGTGCCGTCCTGCTGGCCGTGGGCCAGGCTGCCGGGATCCCCAGGGCCCGGCCACCGGCGGTAGCCAACGGGCTTGCAAAGCCCTTTCTCCTGGGAAGGGAGGGTTTCTCCTGGAGACCTCGGCTGCCTTTTGCCCGGTCCTAAGGAGGTCACCAGGGGAAAAGCTGGAGCGGCGCAGGTCCGGAGGAGGGGACGGAGCGGTGCCGTCTACACAGCCCTTCTCAAACCCAGCAAACACACAGTGTGAAGCCCAAGCTCGAAGGCAAAGGGTAAAACCACAGATGCTACAGCCCAGGGGAGGGGAAGCCTTGACTCTACGACATGTTCCCAGCTACATGTTCAAGGCCAGGCTGGATGGCTATTTGAGAGCATGTTCCCAGCTACATTTATGAACTCTACCCAGCCATGTACAGGGGCTCCGGCCTCCTGGAGATGTATATTTATAGTGTGCCAGTGCATCGAATGAGGCAGAATTCAGGCATGATGAACCTGGCCCTTGATTTTTATGGGTCATGTAGCATTTTGCCCGGGTGGGAATATCCTGCCTGTTTGAAAGTACACAGCCACGTACAAGGGCTCTGGCCTCCTGGAGATGTATGTTTATAGTGTGCCAGTGCATCGAGCAAGGCAGAATCAAGGCATGATGAACCTGGCCCTTGATTTTTTATGGGTCATGTAGTATTTCGCCCAGGTGGGAATATCCTGCCTGTTTGAAAGTACGGGATTTTAGATGAGCTGTAGGAATCACCTCCTTAACATGGGAAGTTTTTCACCTACTGGGGAGACGGGCACCAGGGAAGAATGTGGGCAGGCTTGAGCAACTGGACCTTCCAAAAATAATTCTAGGTAGCGTGTGGGAACTCAGCCAGGGGTGAGCATCCCTGCTCTCCCAAAAGTGTCACCGGCCTCCGGGAACCAGGGCTGCAAATGTCCCCTGTGTCCATGGCCAGCGTTCGCCTTCAAAGGAAGGGATCCAGCTGAATGATCCCGCATCCCTGAGACACTAGGTCTAACTTTTGGGGGCTTTACATGAAAAAGCACCCCAAAGGTAACTAGGTTTCAGCTCTGATCAAGCAGATCTACGCTTGATCTGCACATAATAGGGCCACGGATGGGGGGAGAGGTACATCATGGGTACATCAGAGGTACAACAGGATGGGTACATCATATTTTTTGGAGAAAAAGGACTAAAGGTTGAAAATGTGCTGCCATCACCAAGGAGGTGTTGCTGATTGTCGGGAACCAGAGAGGGGAAAGGCAGGAGACCCTGTTTGCTGAAGCAGACCCTGCACGAGCGCCTCTTCCCTCCTACCCCCAGGGAGGGGTGTTTTATCCGCGCTGATTTCACAGCCCTTGCCAAGAGCCACTCTGCCAGACACAGGTGCCCATTTGTGTTCAGGTGCAACAACGGGGACATTCAAACCTCCTCCAGGCATTCTCCTGTGGGACAATGGGATTTTGTCAAGGTCTGGGGAGAGTGAGACGCGCTTTTCCACCACCGTCCATCAACCGGGTACGCTCCAGGTGAGTGTATTGTATATGTGGGTGGATACACTTTCCTGGCCATTTTGCAAGGCTGATTAACGCTGAATTCAGTGTTTACCCGCACAGAAGCCATTCTGTGAGCCCTCAATTGGCAGGTTCGCTGAGTGCTGGGGTGTTGGCTGCTGGAGGGTGGGATCAAAGCGGTGTGTGCCCTCAAACACACCCCTTTCATCTCCACATTCCTTTGAAGGAGGGCTGACAAGGCTGCCGGCTCGCAAGAATTTAAAAATCCCGGCAGAGGTGGTGTTTGTGCTCTTTTCTTTTGAAAGGCAAAGGATGGGAAAGACCTGTCGGGCCGTTCTCCCTCCCGGCACGAGACTGCACATTTGTCAGCATTTTGTCTACGTTGCAACACAGCTAGTGCCGGGGGGAGGGGGGTCCTTCCATTTCCAGCTGGAAACGAGTCCCTGGAAGGAAAGTTTTGCTGGTATTCAGCACTTTTTGCCCCCGTTATTAACGAAGCCATTAACGTATTTCTCTCTACACAACCTGTTCCAGCAAGTGCTGGGGAGCTGTGGCCGAGAGGCGCTCCCCTGCCTGCACAGCCCCGCTGTGTGCAGAATGGCCAAGCAGCGTTTGGACCCCCCCGGGGGCTCCCCCATTGTACACGTTAAGCCAAGTCAGCGTTTGCCCATCAGCTGCTGCTCTGAGCCGGCTGGTAACGGGGGGATGTGCCCTCTCCTCCCCTTCTGGAACGAATCGGCCGCCCCAGCCCGTGCCCAGGCTGATGCTGGGGGTGAAAAGTGGCCACTGCGTGCCCTCCCCGGAGCCAAGCTCTTCCGGGGAACCACGGTGCCCGTATGTCACCGCGACGGGGGAGTTATAAATGGCTTTGGCAGAACAAACGTGCCATGGCTGTGAATCAGACAGCAGCCGAGCCCGATGCCTCCTCGATAGCACAGCCGAGCCACGGAGCCGCAGGAGGAGAGGCCTCCTTCTATGGCAAATCAAAATGTCACAAAAAGGAGAAATGGGAAGCGAGCGGCTTCGTGCCTCAATGACATGACGACACCTGGTTCTGTCGTATCCCCCTCTCCCAAGTGGCACAGACACCCCCACGCAGCTCCTGGGGGGCCGGAGGGACGCCCCGCTCCGGGCTGTCTCTGCAGGCAGCGTTTCCCCACACACTGCTCCCATCGCCTGCTCCTCCAGAGAGAGACCCCGGAGGCAGCGGGGTTGGGAGAGCGAGAAAGACAGAAGGTGGGGGGGAGGGAAGAGGAGCGGGGCCCTTCGCTAACGCTCCTCGGCGTCAGCAAATCCATCCGCTCTTTTTAATATCCTCTGGCTTGACAGCTGCAGCCGAAACCCTTGGGATAGGGAACATCCAGCACCGCCTGGGTTTCGGTTTGTTTGCTGCCCCGGCCTCCCCCGCTCCCCGGAGACACATTGTCCTGAACCGGCCACTGCAACCTGCCCTGGCCACGGCCACGCAAACCCCGGCACCCAAAACACACCCCCGGCACCCCCCCACGACGCGGTAGGGCTCGTTTGCCCCCCGTGCCTGCTGGCAGCCGGGAAAGGGGAAAAAAAAAAACCCCAACAAAGCGACAAGCAGGGAAAGGCCACCCTGAAGGAAGCCCCTGCACGTCCTTCGGTGGCTTTTTTGGGGTGAGGGACCCCTCCGGCCCGCGCCCCCCCCAGGCCCCAGCGCGGCGGCACTCACGGCTCGGTGCATGTTGGACATCGGCGGCGCAGCCCGGCGGATTCCAGAGCAGAGCTAAAAGAGGAGAGCCATCAGACGGCCTTTCTCAGCACTGGTTGCACAGCATACAAGATCATGTTTTGATTACAAAAGCCTCGCCTGGGCTCCCAGCCAAGAGCACTGGCTGCCTAATATACCAAGCACAGACAGGGTTTTTGAGTGCCTGTGTCCTCCTCTCCAATCTCACTCTCTTTTAAAAAGAAACACTCCCCCTTTCCCCCCCCGCCTTCCCCTCCTGACTCCTTTTAACTTCCTGATGCCACAAGCCCTGGTTCAAAGTGGGAAACGCCGGGCGAACAATGCAGAATGGATCAGGCAAACAGCTTGACTTCACTTGGTGGCCATTGATGGGGCTGTGGGATTTGTTATGCATGGCTAGCTGCACGCCCGGCGGGGCACCGGGAAAATATCTGGGGTCCTGAATGTCTTCTGAGGGCGAGTATCTGCACGGGAAAACAAGTGCTGGATTTGCCTTTTGCTGGTTAATTTCAGTGTGCTCCGGGAATGATTTCCCCACTTTTAAAACGTGCCTTTTCAGGGAGGCAGCAGAAGCCACGCTGTGGGGTCGGCATCACCAGCCAGCACCATGCCTGGCAGAAAGCCCATAGTCAAAGGAGAGGGCCCCCCAGTAAGTCCTTGTCTTAAAGCTGCCAAAATGACCCCCAGAAGAGTCACAGATAATGGGGCTTGGAGAAAACAGGCAGCACTTGCCCGCTGGGCTCTCAGGTGGCCACGCTCAAACCCTTCTCTCAGCACCACGTCCCGGCTGTGTGTCCTCCCCCAGTGCAGACGGGCTGCCCCTTCCAGTGCCCTCCAAGGACCCAGATGAGACAGAGGTGAACAGGAGATGGAAGCCCACGGGGGAGTATTTTGTTGCCCAAGGACTGATGCACACACCAACCTTTAATGCGGTCCCAGCTATGTTTGTCTGTTAGAGAAACTGAGTGGGCTCGCTGCTGGTACCTACCCGCTCTGAGACCTTTGAGCGGATCAACCACTCAAAAAACCCAAGAAGTTTAACCCAAATTCAACATGGTTCAAGGGAAGCCTTCAAAAGACTCTGAAGAACTGTGAATTTGGCCACTCCCCTGCATATAACTCTGACTGTTGGAGATCAGGACTAGGGCACTAGAAGAGATGGAAGCATGGCTTAGTAAAAGTGCTGAGAGGGAAAGACTGACCCATATTAATTAGTAGCTACTCAAATGATGAAAGGAAACTGAAATGATTTCCCAGGCAGTGCCTCTGGATTCAGGCTGAGGAAGGAAAGGAAGACTCTGCTGTGGATGGAAAATTGGGAAAAAGACACAGGTGCTTTGCTGGAGCCCAGGTGCTTGTCAGGAGGTTTGTGATGGCCAAGTGGAGCGGAGCCACACAGGGCTTCTCCTTGCCCTGGCAACACAGGGGAGATGGGAGGATGGTGCTGCCTTGGGTTTCCAAGCTGGCACAGCCCCTTGTGAGGGTGGAGCGATGGCCCATTTTTGGTTGGGCTGGTGGCTGTGGGGACAAGGTCAGTCCTGGGAGACGATGCTGGGCTGAGCCAGGGAGCCAGTGCTCATGGAAACACTTTTTCCAGCAACTGTACATTATCCTGTTGGTGTGGTGGCTGTGTTCCTGGGCCTGAGGAGCCTGCACGTGCTGCTAACACCCAGGCCCAGGTTAACACAGCCCCACACCGTTCTCCCAAACACCAGCAGGTTCCTTGCACAGCGCAGGGGAAGCACCGTGTACAGTGGGGTCCATTGGATCACCATAACTAAGGGACCACATCCAAGTTGTCAGTGTAAGCTAAGTGCTTGCAAGGAGCTTCTACAGACCTCATAGCTGTGGCATCCAAAGTCCCTGCTGTTATCAATGGTGTGGCCAAGCTCTTCCGGCAATGACAAGCTCTTCCAGCAATGAGCTGTGCCATGAGCAGGCACGAACAGCCCCAAAATACCTTTGCCTTTGCTAACGTCTCTGGAGAGCTGCAGTTCCCTCCAGGGCAGCGTCGGCTCCTCCACTGCCCTCAACACCAACAGCTGACATTTCTCAGCTGCCCTTTTACGATGTCTGAGTGGCACTAATGACAAATCATCATCACCTGAGACTGACGAGGAGGTGAATGCTCAGTTAATGCTGTAGAAACCCAGAGGCAAAAGGGCCCAGTCAAGAGAGCAGCATCTGCAGCTTCAGCAGTGGGGCAGAACAGGTTGGTCTGGGGACCAGTTTGTGCTCTTGAGACTCTCACGGGATGTAGAAATCAGAATCTTATAAATATGCTGACATTTACGGGTTATGTTCATCCACATAGGTTTGCTTGTACCTGGTGTCGTGGCCAGAAAGGGCTGCAGTAACACCAAGGCTGTCCCCAATTTGAGGGCTTGCTCTGAATTGTCAAAAACTCCAGTTTGCTCTTAAATCCCAAGATAAGCACTGCCTTCCCATGGGGTCTGTGCCTCCCTCGGGGTAAGGGTGATCCTCCAGGACCTTCACCCTGGCACCAGGGAGCACCGAAACCCATAGGTCTGCCCCTTGGGAAGAAGAGGAGCCAAAGGTGGTCCCCAGCCTCCTGCTCCAGTGAGAAGGGCATGGGGGCTGTGTGGCATTTTGGGGGTGCTGCAGGACCCCAGGAGACACTGAATCCTTTTCACACGAGCACCCCCACCTCAGTGGGTGAAGCACATCAGAACTGCTCTCTCAGGCCGTTGAGGGCAGCTACTTCCCAGCAGGCACCAACCTGACCCAGCCTTTCAGCCAGCAGGTATTGCATCCGTGTGCCACAGGAAGGATGTTTGGAGAAACCATCTTAATTACTCACCTGGGAACTTGTCCACCACCCCCAGACTTAATCCCTTTATTCTTCTAAAATTGCCAGAAGACCTTTAATAAGCAGGATGGCCTGATTCCGGGCTCTTTATTGTGCTCTGGCTGCTGTGGACTGGCTTGTGCCATCTCCAAAGCCTACTCAGCGCAGAAGCCGTGGGGCACACCCAGGGTAGACACCCCAAGTTGGCTCTGCGGCTTCTGCTTTAGAGAAGGAGGATCTATGAGCTCTTGGTAACTATGGGCATCCCATGAAGGAGCAGTCCCTGCAGCGGACAGCAGCTTTTCTTCAGGAAAGCCTGAAAGCTGGAGGAATCAAGAGGACAAAAGGGGGTTTTGCTGCATTTCCCTGCCGGGGCTGAGCTCCCGTAAGCGCAGCCTCCTGCTGACTGCTTGGAGCCCCTGCTCTCAGCTCAGCATAAAGTCTGCTGGAGATTTTTCTGGAGCAAAGGAAGGAAATCAGGGCACTGACCTGTCCATTTTGTGCTTGTGACAGTGAAATAGCCCCTTTCTCTAGCTGTGCGCTGCAAAGCCTCTCCCTGACCAGTTTCCTCGCAGAGAATCTTCTCTGATGGGAGTCTGCCATCTCCCCGCGCCAGGACAGCGTTCAGCACTTGCAGAAAGTGTTGCTGCACATTTTGACAGCAAAGCTGGATGTTTCTTCTCTGTCTCTGCCTTACACAAAGGCTGAAGGAAAGAGTCTGATCCCTCAATAAACCCAAACCTGACTGCCCCAAGAAGCATTCCTGGCATCCCTTCATCGGCCTGTCCACCAGCAGGAACCGCCTTGGCTTGAAACCCTCCTTCCTTTTCCTTTTCCACTCGGTGAAACTCCTCCAGAGCCACTCAGTCCCATGCTGCCACTTGTCCCAAGTGCACTTCACCCGTTTCATCCTGGCTTCTCTCCCTTTTTTGCACGGCTGTGATTTAGTCAACAGATGGCACTCGGTAACTGCCGGGAGAGGCTGGGAGCCGCCGGCCAAAAAAAGCCCCCCGTAGAAGCTGCCTAAAGTCTGGCAGTTTTGGGAGGGTGTTTTGCTGGTGTGGGGAGGCTGCAGAGAGGCAGTTTTGGGAGGGTGCTTTGCTGTGGTGTTTGGGGCTGCAGAGAGGCCGTGTGCCCAAGGCTCAGAGGCTCTCCTGCTCGCTGCCCTGTGCAGCAATGAACTGGCAGATCTCGCTCCTGAGCAGAACCAAGAACCAGCATCCCCTCCCCAGGGCTGTCAGGGGGAGGCAGGGGGGGGAACACAAAGTCTATCACAGATGAGTTTCCTGGCAGCCCAGAGGCATCTTTCCTGTCAACCACAGAGCAACCTTCCCCGCAATAAGCAAACTCCTCCTCTGCCTCCCTTGCTTCCCCCCACTCTGATCCCTCGGCCAGGGATCTGCAGGATTAAAAGGTGTTTGAGGGGTTTCCTCCTGCCAGCCAGGAGAAAGGCCAGTATATTCCCCAGACTGGGAGGAGGGACCAGCCAGAAACTTCCAACAGGCTTTGGCTGGAGAGACTCACAGGGATGAAAGGACTGCTGAGACGTTCATTTTTAAATGTATCAATACAAAATTAAAAAGGAAAGCTACAAAAGCTAGCTAAAGGATGTAGTGCCAGCTTGGTCCTGCTTAAAATCAGCGAAGATCACATCTGCCTGTTGGAGCTGCCTTCCCATAGAGACACCAAACACAGCACAGAAACCTCTCGGGAGGTGCAGAGCAGCCCTGTCCCCTTTGGAGGACAAGTTTGTCCCCTTTCCCCCCTCCCTGTGCATCCTCCCAGCCCACAGGTCCTTGCCCCAAGTCCTGTGGGTGAGATCTGCGCCGACCCGCCTTTAATGCCACCTCGAATAACTCGTGATCTCATCACCTCACCTGACATTTTCCGCTCCTGAAAAACTTGTCATTCTAGTGCAGGGCCTCTGAAGCCGAGCGAGCGATAAGAGGATCCGTCCTCTTAGTTCTTCCCACTTCCAGACATGCACAGCAGGGCCAAATGCAGCTTTGCTGACCCCATTTGCCACCCCAGCCCCAGCCTTCAGACGTAGGACACATGCCCCAGCCTCGGGAAGGGTGCCAGGCTGTGGCAAGTGGCCGGGTCAGCCAGTCAGGCAGGTTCTTTCCATCTCTTATGGAAATCCAGTCCTTGGGGAAAGCAGGGAGAGCTGCAGACACCAACTGGTCTGCCCTGGGTGAAAGCTGTCATCAGCAGGGGCCAAGGGAGGTTCCTCCCTCCAGCCCATGGCTGCAGCCCAGATCCAGAGGACGTGGGCAGCCCAATGGCCTCTAACATGTACTTCACAAGCTGGAAACGAGCATGCCAAAAGCCAGCTGGCTGTTACCATGGCCACACACCCCTTGTGAACTACAAAAAGTCAAAATT